TAAGGCGAATCACACATAAAGCAACTAATCACTTTAATGTCTTCATTTTGCAATTTGTGAAAATTAATTATAACCCACACATAGCTTGACAAGGCATAAAAGAGAACAGAACATCCAAGATAATTTTAAAATTATAAATGAAAATAAAAAACATGTTACCAGATGCTTATGAGGCAGAGGAGAGGTAGACTTAGGGAGATAGTTTTACAAAATTCTTCGATGCCCTCTCTGGTTCTTCTTTCTCTCCTATCCAGTTTTTCTCTTGTTTGTTTTTCTCCAACTTCTACTCTATCTCTTTCTCATTCGTTCTCACCTTCAGGAGCAAAAAGCTGGTCCTGTTCAGATTCTCCTCCAGAACCCAGCTCTCTCATTCTCCATTTTTTTCGTCTCTCTCTCCTTTCTGTGTCTGTACTCTCTCACTCTCCCTCTCTGTCTCTTTCTCATTCAATTTATCTTCTCTTATTCTCTTCCTTGCATAAACCTCTCATTCTCTATCCTCTCTCGTTCAACCCCCCACTTTCGGTCTCTCTCTCTCTCTCGTTTTTTCTCCTCTGCGTGCTCTCTCACTCTCCCTCTCTGTCTCTCTCAAACTTCTCCTCCAGAACCCAGCTCTCTCATTCTCCATTTTTTTGTCTCTCTCTCCTTTCTGCGTCTGTACTCTCTCATTCTCCTTTTCTATCTCCCTCTCGCTCAGTTTCTCTTCTCTTGGTCTCTAGCTCTCTTTTTTCAGTCTCTCTTTGTGCTCTCTGTTTTTATTTCTTTTCATGCCCTATTTTTCCTTTTTTTTTTTCATGCTCTCTTACTCTCAGTCTCCTTCTCGTCTCTCACTCTCTTTCGAACTTTTTCTTTGTGCTCTGTTTTCTTCTTTCGATCTCCCTGTCTTTGTGCTCGTGCACCTCTCACTCGGTCTTCCTCTTCTTTTTGTCTCTAGTCCTTCTTCGTCTTTGGCTTTGTTCTCCCATCCCCAATTTCTCTTCTCTCTTTTTTGCTCTATTTTTTCAGTTTTCCTTCTGTTTCTCGTGCACTCTCTTTCCTCCATTTTTCTTCTTTATTTTCGCCTCTCTCTCGCGTTTCTGGCTCTCTCTCTTTTTAGTCTTTCTTCCCTCTTCTCTTCCTCTCCTTTTTACTCTGTTCTAACGTGCCTTTTAAAGCAGAAACAGGGAAGAGCTTGCGTGTGAAGAGAGAGCTTACGTGCTTCACCTTTCTCGCTCTGCTCTGCTATGCATGCATGCGTCTGATCTCCTTCTACATATCTATGTTTTTCTCTGTGCACGCGAGTCTGGTCTTTCCGGCGTTCTCTGCTCTTCCTTTTTTCTGTTGTGTTTTCTTCTTTTGCTAGTGTTTTTATGTTTCTGTTTCTACTTCTTCTATCTTCTTATTTGTGCGGGAACGTGCATGACACACGAAAGACCAAACTAAGTTTACATATTTTAATTTTAATAATTCTTCTTTTTTTTAATTATGTTTATTAATTTTTGAAATTTTTGAAATTAGATTAAGGGGCTTAAAAATCTGATTTTAGATTAAACAAATATTTTTTAAAAATATAATCCTAAAAAGGATTAAATTTGTTTTCATATTTTTATATTTTTTTTGAACTAATAAAATCCTAACCAATAGCAAAAAAAAATATCTACAATAAAATTAAACCCTATTAATTAAATTTTTTTTGTTTTAAAAATATAATCCTAAAAAAGTTTAAATTTTATTTTTGTATTTTTATATTTTTTTGGTTGAATTTATTTTTATTTTTAATAAATTTTAAAAAATACAGTGTTCACACACACTTTTTTAATGAAGAATCTACTCAACTTATCACCATTGAACAAGATTTGAGCTTCATAGGCATGTGGTCTTCTTTGTTTAAATCATATGATCTTAATTATCCACGTGTCTCCAAAGATCAATCAGTGATCCGTTTACTCGTGGCAATTTAGCAATTAAAGAATTAGATGGCACCAATGTGGATAAATCGGCTTTCTATTGGCAGGCGTTTTGGATAAAAATTATTTGCCCTTGAAATTATTGAATAACTTGAGATGAAGAAGATATGAGAACCCCATGAAAAAGCTTGATTTCTCTTGAATCAAATTAAATGGAGGTGAAGAAAGATTTGCTCTAGCTCTTAAATCTTCTCATCACAATATAAAGCTTTCGATATAGAGATGATCCAGTCAGTTAAACTTATAGCAGAGATTGCATGAGAATAAATTGAACATGAGCCATATCAAATATGGCTTTAATGAAAGGGCAATAATAGAAAATGTACTGTAAGGATTCATCACAATCACAACCAAAAACAGTTGAATAGATACTGAAACATGATGCTCTAGAACAATCACAATCATAGCACAGTCACGCTGTGAGCCTAGAGAGCGAACTGTTCTTTAGCCTTTTTCTATTCTTTTTCTTTGTTTTCTAATCTTCACTTTAGTAATAAAGTAGCAAAAGATAAGATACAATCCATCTTACATATTCATAGAAGCTGTGTGAGGTGGAATGTGGGGAGGGGACACGGTTTGTGAGTGGAAAAGAGAAAGCCGCTAGACCGTTGCGGATTAAATAAATACAATTTTCAATTTTTTTTACTAAAAAGATAATTATATTAATAAATAAAAATATAAATATCATTTTCAAAGTTTCATCACTGTGGCTGCTAGTACTATTTTATTATCTTTTTATTTTCCTTTTCGTGTTGCTTTTTTGCTGCTTTGCAAATGCCAATTCAAATTAACAGCCGTCTGAGTCTCTGCAATGGTAACATTTCTAGAACATGAAATCTAAAGATACTTCTGACCCAAAGAAAAAAAAAATCGAAAGATACCTATACTTGCATGGTATTGACATATTTTCTGAAACTTTTTTTTTTACCATATATTATGTAACTTGTAAAATTTACATATCATTTTTATATTTCATTTTATGAGTTGTGAAATCATTTATCAAAGTTTTATTATCAATTAATTATATTTCACACTTAATAGATAAAATACTTAATCCATTAAATATATTTTTTTATACATAGTTTATTTTGTATAGGATTTGATTAATACTTTTATGAGGCAATTTGACCATGATACTACAACCAAAAAAATTATTTATCAATATGCTATACTTTTAAAAATATTTTTCCAAATATTACAAATTTTAAAACTTAGCTTCAATGGCACCGAGTTTCTTTTTTTTTTTTATGCATAACAATACAAAAATTGGCTTCTATCAAGCCAAGTTCTATATGAATTTTTTTTTTTAGAAAAGTATAAAATTTGGCTTCTATCAAGCCAAGTTCTGTACTTATATTTAAATAAAAAATTGATGTGACATGCTTGGCAGATTATATCTACTATGACTCCACTGCAATATATGATTGTACTCTATAATTTCTCTTCCCTTCCTCCCTTGTCGCTAAAGCCAGTAATTTAGGTCAAGTTTGACAAGTCAACTTGAACCCGTCCAAAAAAATTGAGGGCCGGGCTTAAAAAAATATTTTTAATGTTCATGCCTATTAGCCCAAATATCCAAATAAAAAAATTTATTTTTTAAAATATATAAAATATAATTAAATATTAATTAATTTTTTAAACTTTAGGTTATTTTATACTAAAATATTATATATTTGAGTCCTATACAGCACTTAAGTATCAAAAAATATATTTTATATTTTTTATAAAATAAAAAAATTATTAGTTATAGCCATAATTAAGAGTATTATTTTATTTTTATTTATAAATCACTCCTAATATTTTCATCAGAATCAAGAAAAAAACTTACAAATCTCATTAATTTTAAGACAATTAACACATTTCCTTCCTCCATTTTTGGGCACTTGTGGTTCAGTCTTGCATTGCCTTCTTTTGGTGTTTATGTGGGTGTTGCACTTACCAGAGGCTTCCCTTCATATTCAGCACTACTTGCATAGGCCGAAAGAGAGCTGAGACTTCCTAAAAAATATTAATTAAATATTCGAACAATAAAATTTAAGATAATTAAGAGATTTTGCCCACATACCCAAACAATAAAATATAATTAAATATTAATTAATTGTCTTAAAATTAATGAGATTTGTAAGTTTTTTTTTCTTGATTTTGATGAAAATGGATGAAAATGTTAGGAGTGATTTATAAATAGAAATAGAATAATAATCTTAATTATGAGTGTAATTAATAATATTTTTTATTTTATAAAAAATATAAAATATATTTTTTGATACTTAAATGATGTATAGGACTTCAATATATAATATTTTAGTATATAATAACCTTAAACTTAAAAAATTAATTAATATTTAATTATATTTATATATTTTAAAAAAATAAAATTTTTTTATTCGAGTATTTGGGTTCATAAACATGAACATAAAAAAAATTATATTTTTTTCAAACCCGGCCCTAAATTTTTTGAGCGAGTTCAGGTTGACCCGAATTACTGACTCTAGCGACAAGGGTGGAAGGGAAGAGAAATTATGGAGTATAATCATATGTTAAGGTGAAATCATAATAGACATAATCTGCCATATATATCACGTCAATTTTTTATTTTATTATTTTAATGTAAGTACAGAATTTGGTTTGATAGAAGCCGAGTTTTATACTTTTTTTGGGGAAAAAAAAATCATACAGAACTTGGCTTGATAATACTGTCGTGCATAAAAGAGGAATTGAAACTGGTGCCATTGAAGCCAAATTTTAAAATTTGTAGTATTTGAAAAAATATTTTTAAAAGTATAACATATTGGTAAATAATTTTTTTTTTGTTGTAGTATCATGGTCAAATTGTCTTTTTATGACGAGGATTTAAAAATTTTAAATTTTATGCTCTTCATGCATCTATTTAACTCATTTAAATTTAAACTCTAAAATCTAAAGCCATTTCGATGGCTTTTCTTTTTTAATCTAAATCAAGTGCAAATGCATTAAATGGCTTTGACTTTTTATATATACGCAAGAAGACTTTTGAAAATCATGTACAGCAATATCAACAGCTGCATACAGCGCGCGCGCGCACATATTTACACATATATATATACATATATATATATATATATATTGATTCTATAATCTTACTAATGAAATTAATAGCAAACAACATTTTTTCCTAATAAAAATTTAAAAATTCTGGATTTCATAAGCTCCCAGAAGAGCAGTAAAAAGAGTGTTTTATTTTAATAATATCTTCTAATTGCTTGATAACATCTCTCATTGTGGGTCTCGTGTGGATTCTTCTCTTCTGCAAGGCTTGAATCAACAATGTTTTGAATGTCTCCTGTTTCCTCCCACAGAATTCTAGCCCAAATTCCTATCTCAGTTCCCTCCATAAATGATAGATCCATTGCCTTCTTTCTGGTTATTAACTGAAGCAATACTATCCCATAACTGTAGACATCAAACTCCCTTGTATTTGCTGTTGTACATGTATCCTCTGTCAGGGCCAACAGAAACATGTTATTTTTCACAATCATTTCAAAAGGAGGGGGAAAAAACACAGAGAAGATTCAAAATACAAGTAAACGAGGTACCTGGTGTTGTATACCCTAATGTGTTCGGAACGAGTGAAGATGAAGATGATGCTGAAGAAGATTGATCCAAAAGTTTGGCAGTACCGAAATCAGCAATATGAGGCTCCATATCAGAATCTACAAGCATATTTTTTGGCTTGATGGCACGGTGCACTATGGCAGGATGACAATCATAATGGAGATAAGCCAATCCATGAGCAATTCCAGCAGCTATCCTACATCGCACATTCCACTCTACAGGTGGTAGTGGATTCTTTCCATGCAAAACCTCATGAAGGTTTTTATTTGACATGTAACTGTACAAGATTAGACAATAGTCCTTTTTGAATTGAAAATCTAGCAATCTAAGTAGATTCCGGTGCTTAATCATTCCAAGTATTGTAATTTCTCTAAATATGCTTTGGATCTTTCCTTTGTTCCCAGCAAATGTAACCTTCTTTACAGCATAAACTAGAGATGTCCCTTGTTGAACTTTATAAACAACTCCATGAGTTCCTCTGCCAATAATGTTCGGATTGTTCTCATTTGCATTAGCCTTCATCACCTCACCAAGAATTGGGAAAAAACCTCTATTGGTAGTGATCTTGACTTCCTCCTTCGAGATCAGTTACATAGAAAACTTTTAAAATAAGAAGGAAGAATGATAGCAGCAAAAATGGTTTCTGGTATAAAAAATTTGAGGGATGCTTAATGAAAATGACCAAGTAAAGAAAGAGAAGACTCGACAGTGGTTTCTCATACTCTGAGGAAAATACTATCAACAAAACTACTATAGTGCTATTATCATCAAATCTCACTTGTCAAAATCTGGTGCTAATGTGTGTGTGTGTGTGTGTGGAGAGAGCATTCATAACAGGTTGGAAAACTTCCTGGTGGGGAAAAATGGGATAACATCCAGATCCAGCATAGGCTTCACAATGACCTCAGTCTCCTCATGCTCAGCCTATTCATTTTTTTCTTGTGAGCTCTACCTTGAGTTTTCGCTGTCAAGGGACTTGCTGTTTCTGCCCTTTTTTTTTTTTAAATACACCCATATGAAATCAAAGAGCTGGTTCTGAAAAAATACTATCTACATAATCCACCCACATTAAAACCCTACTTAAGTACTTATTGGAATTTTTGAATTCATCTGCAAGCAGTGAAATTAAGATAAATAATAAGTATTTAATATGTGGTTGTGAGCACTCTTATAATAAATACTCGGTAACAAACAAACATGGATCTTTCAAAAACTAGCTATTGTGATTCTAGTCTTGTCTGGAAAATTAAATTACCTGAAAAAATATAGAGGCCGAAGCAGATGCAAGAGAACTCCCTAAATGAAATGCTTTGTCATGCTGAACAAAAATTCCTGAGTAAATTAGACAAGCACATAAGTAACTCAGCCTTTTCAACTGCTTTCCTTAGATGAAACATAGTGATATGTTCAAGACTAGTCCAGTTGAAAAAAACAAAGCTAAGGTGTAACGACTAATTAAGGAAGAAAGGAACCATGATCACAGAAAAATGAGAATATAGATGCTGTGTAGAATTCTATAACCAGGAAGAGATAAAGATATAGATCCCACTAACTAACTAGATAATGATATAGTAACAAATTACTTCTGTGACTTCCATACAGAACTGCCAAGTCCTTAAGAAATGATATTAAGCATTCGGGAAGAAATGATATTAAGCATTCGGGTAAGATTTGTGTCAGTTAACATATACTTCATCAATCTGTAACAATATGAATACATTCTACACTGTCATGTAGTATAACTCAACACTTATTTTGAGCATGACTTCATGGATATTAATATAACACTTGTCATTGTCAAGTGGACACAACTCCTACCTGGATCAGTGGGTGCCTCAAAGAACTCAACTACATCTCTCATCTTCAGTCTCTTTCCTGGAGCTGCCTCAGTGCATATCAAGACCACCAAAAGCACTTTGATAACTTGCACCTTTACATTTAAATCTGAAAGCTCCCTAGCAAGGCTTGAATCAACAATCTCTTCAAGTTCAGTTGTTCTCCTCCATATAGATTTAAACCACCCTACTAAGGTCGTTTCCACTTCCATAAATGAGGAATCCAATACTTTCTTTCTCGTTATCAGCTCTAGCAAAACTACCCCATAGCTGTATGCATCAATCTCACAGCCGGGCACTATCAGACATGCAATCTCTATCATAAGACAATTTAAACATAGTAGATTGTAAGAGAAATTATACTTTTGATATTTTCATTTGTTTTATGGTAATTAAAGGACTAGTAATTTGTAAGATCCCAAAATTTAGACCAAAGTGCTTGTAGGTGCAGGCAAGTTTGGATTAGTATGCTATTTTTTCCAGTTAGAAAGGAGCTAAAAGATGAATCAGAAATATACTCAAGATAAGTGAAGAGAAAAGAGCAATCTCGACAATTATAAAATTTTTAGAAATTGATCTATGTCCAGTTATTATATATATAATTTATTGACTTATAAATTACGATAGGAGGGGACACAGAAAATGCTCCATAAAATTTTTAGAGATGCCTAAGAATATAAAGAAAAATTAAGGAAAAGAAAATCAATTAAGAATGGACTAAATTTTAAAGATTCTTGGTTTTAACCAATGACACCCTAAGTTATTGGGTGGATTAGGGAAGACCTTAATCATAATAGATTGGTATAAGTTATATTCTTAGGGCATCAATAAGGAGAAGTACAAAATTGGAGATGATAAATATTCATTAATATTTATTCAAACGGGTTAATTTATGGTTATTGAAATTTACCATGTATTTACAGGAGGAAAAAAATAAATAACCTAATATAAGATAAAGTTAAAGAGACATATTTCCCACTTCTAATTCAAAGGATAAATTTAAAACATTAAGCTATGAATAAGTGGGAATTGGACGACAAAATTAAGAGGAAAGGAAATGTATTAATCGTAATTGGGAATTTCCAAAATTAACCTTAGATTGAGTTTAATGCTATATGCTGATGTACTTGAGAATATGCTATCTATTTTCCAATTCAATGGCCGAATAGTACATCAGAAAGTGAAGAAATAATTCAAACAAAAGTAAATAAGAATAATGAACAAGTTAGCACGTAAATTTTCTCTCAAACTAACTTGTTATGACTATTTGGGCCATGCAACTTGACTTAATTAGTTAAAATTGTGGCATTGGAGAGAAGCAACAGATTATTGTGTGGCAAGGAAATTGATATTAAAAATGGTAAAGAAACACATATTTAGACTTGCAAACATCTGGCAGCACTTTGGATTAGATTGGTTTAAGATTTATTAGGTGGCATCTTAGAAACTCCACCGAAATACGTTTCTCTTATCCCCTTGAATCAATCTTATGTCAATCTAGACATAAGAAAAAGATCAAATAAATTAAAACAAGCCATGAGCCATCCAGTTATATAAAGTTAAATTGAGTAAGTGGATAATTGTATTAGGTGGCATTCAATAAGAATGATAATGAGGAGAATTCAATTAGATCGCAGCAGCTGAGAATTTCTTCCAACTAAAATTATAATTGGTCTAATAAACGACCAAACCATTTCCTTCTTCAACATGCTTTTATATATATGAGTGCATTAGCTTTGCTCTTGCATTTTCTCTACATGTCCGACACTTAAAAAGAGCGCGAGTAAGGGAAAGTTAGAGAATAATGGGAGGCAGAAAAGTAGAATCAGAAGAAGGGACCCAAACTAAGAAAAAGGAAGGAAACTAAGATTATCTCAAGCTAGAGGAAACTAATAAGGTAGCAAGCTTATATTTTACTTTTGATCACATTGGTTATGCTTGAGTTATTTATGTTGATTATGTGAGCTAGTTATTGTTGAAATTCTGGTTGCGAGCGTGAACTTGGAGTTATAGAACTTAAGTTATGAATTTCACAAGATAGAGAAGGGAATCTGTAGCAAGTGACGTCTTATGTGTCATGTGTGTATCAAAAGTCCCACATTGACTAAATAAAGGACTCTCTTAGTGTATAAATACTAAGGAATGAAGTGAGTTAGTAAAATGGATTTAAAGAAAAAGTGAGCTCATGCGCATGAAACAGATTAACTCAAGGCAATTGCAGTTGAAATTAGCCAATTTTCCCCCCTACGCATGAGTTCAAGAGGCATTGAGTTCCTTTTACCGAATTATTTTTACAAAATAAATAAATAATTATTTTTTTGCTTATCGAAAAATCTCAGTTTTTGGCTATCTGGAGTTTAAAATCAAATCATGAACGTTTTTTACCATTAACCAGACCAGATTAATTTTGTAAACATATTTGTCTCCCCAACATTTCCAGGCAAGAGCTTAAATGTGTTTTACATCTGCATAACCCCCTAACATATCTAGACAGGTATTTAAACGTGTTTTATGAGAGTGTAACCGAGCCTTTAATCCGGTGATTATGAGCCAACATTCATGTCTCCATCTTCGGGCTATATATAGCCATGGGTGCAGGCAAAGCAACTCACCATCCTCTTGAGTTTTTCGAGCAATTCTCTCCTCCCTCTAACTTCTGTTATGTTGTTCATCTGAGTTCATTTTTAGTTTCGGCTATTCTGGTTCCTTGCTCCTATAGGAAGTACTTGTTTAATCCTATGGAACTATTGGTCCGTCGTCTCAGTGTGCCGAAATAGTTCTTAAGAACAGTGTCCTTTCGGACATGACTCAAGCGGCTTATCGTTCACGTCTATACCGCCAACAATCTTAAGAACTAATCAGATTGAATGGTGTCTAACAGTGCTAAGAATGTCATCCTCAAAGGTGTACCCAGTGGTTCAACTAGAGATCAGTACATCCCTGCCGCTGTTGCTGTCCCCTTGCCGAGGCCATTCCCGACCATATTGAAGATAGAAGTCTTTGACAACAAGAATTTCAAACGCTGGCAAGAACGAGTCTTCACCATTCTTGACATGCATGGTGTGGCCGCTGCTCTTGCTCAATCCGAGCCTGCTGCTGATACTGATCAAGCTCGAAGAGTTGCATGGACTCATGCAAACAAGGTATGCCGACACATTATCATTAGCACTTTATCTAATGATTTGTTCGATGTCTATTGTATCTACAAAGAAGCTTGTAAGATATAAGAGTCCTTGGTGACAAAGTACACTGCAAATGATGCTAGCAAACAAAAGTTCGTTGTGAAAAACTACTACAAATGGGAGATGACCGAGAACAAGGATGTGAAGGAGCAAATCAATGAATATCATAAGCTACTAGAGGAGCTTGGTGCTGAAAACATCAACCTTCCAGACGAGTTCATTGCTGGGATCCTGATTTAGAAGCTGCCAAAATCATGGGATGATTACAAGTAGCAGCTAAAACACAAACAAAAGTAGCTGTCCTTGACTGACTTGATCACTCACATCATCATCGAAGACACCAACCACAAGGTAGTATGTGCAGCTCAAACCAGAGAGATGACATCCAAAGCCAACCTGGTGGAGACAAAGCCTCACAACAAGAGTTATGACCCTAAAACCAAAGACAAAAAGAATAGAAAATTTGATTACAAACCCAATGCTTCTAACCCCTCTTTTAAGAAAAAATGAGACTGTTTTGTTTATGGTAAACCAGGACACTATGCAGCACAATGTAGGAAGAGAGCGAACCGTGATAAGCCTCGTAAGCCCAATGTAAATTTGATACAACGAGTTGGTGATAGTGATGATGACATCATTGTTGCAGTGGTGTCACAAGCTCTCTTGATTTCTGATGTGAAGAAATGGGTGGTAGACTCTGGGGCTACCAGGAACATATGTGCTAGCTAGGAGATGCTTACCTCCTATGATCCTGTAAAGAAAAGGGAAGACCATATTTACCTTGCTGATTCCCGAACTGCCAAAGTTCAAGGAAAAGGGAAAGTGGTCTTAAAGCTCACATCAGGAAAGACTCGGACTCCGAATGATGTTCTGCATGTGCCTGAAGTTAGAACAAACTTAGTGTCAGTTACTCTTTTAAGGAAAGGTGGAGTTAAAGTGTCATTTGAATCTGACAAGATTGTAATGACAAAAAATAATGTATTTGTAGGCAAATAGTATTGTAATCAGGGACTATTTGTTTTGAATGTTGATGAAATGAATAAGACTAAATCTTTTAAGTATATGCCTGTTTATATGATTGATTCATTTGATCTATGGCATGATAAACTAGATCATGCTAGTAAAGGTTATATAACTAGGATGCGACAACTTGGACTACTTTTTGAAATTAAAAACAATGTTTTTGAAAAATGTGAAGTATGTACAGAAACTAAACAAAATAAAAAACCTTATTTTTCTGGTCAAAGAAAATCTGAATTACTGTCTTTAATTCACACTGATTTAGGTGATTTAGAACAAACCACAACTAAAGGTGGTAAAAAATATTATATCACTTTTATTGATGAATTTTCAAGATATACTAAGGTATACTTGTTAAGAAACAAAGATGAGGCCTTTGAAAATTTTTTTATATAAAGCAAAGGTGGAGAATCAGTTAGACAAAAAAATTAAAAGGGTTAGATCTAATAGAAGTGGAGAATATGTTTTGTTGAATGATTTTTGTGAAAAAGAAAGAATTATACATGAGATAACACCTCCTTATTCTTTCGAGTCTAATGGTGTTGCAAAAAAGAAAAATAGAACATTAAAAGAAATGATGAATGCTTTGCTTGTGAGTTCTTCTGCGCCTGATAATTTGTGAGGTGAAACTATTTTGTCTACATGTTTTTTACAAAATACAATACCTTATAAGAAAACAAAGAAAACACCTTATGAGTTATGGAAAGGGTTTCCCCAAATTTAAAATATTTGAAAGTGTGGGGGTACCTTGCAAAAGTTTTATTGCTTGATTCTAAAAAGAAAAAAATTGGTTCTAAAACTTCTAATTGTCTGTTTATAGTTTATGCTGAACAAAGTACAACTTATCGCTTTTTAGTTTTAAAAAGTGATATTTTAGACCAAAACACAATTGTAGAGACTAAGGATGTCGAATTTCTTAAACATATTTTTCCCTTAAAAATTGAGCATGTTTCTAAACTTGTTGAAAATTTAAAATTTGAATAAAATTTAAATGAGGATTTGGTTTTAAGGAGAAGTCAAAGGCAAAAAAAAGAAACAAATTTTGGAAATGATTTTTACACAAGTGTAAGATGAATCGTTAAATTTTTATGAAACTATTTCTTCTCCTGATGCCAAATTTTGAAAAGAAACAATTGAAATTGAAATTGATTCTTTAAGGAAAAATAAAACTTGAGTTTTAGCAGATTTGCCCCAAGAAGCTAAGGCTATTGGGTGTAAATGAATTTTTAAGAAAAAATATTTTCTGAATGGTTCAATTGATAAATATAAAGCAACACTTGTGGTCAAGGGTTTTACTCAAAAGAAAAATATAGATTATTTTAACACATTTTCTCCTGTGAATAGAGTTTCTTCTATAAGAGTTCTTATTGCTTTGGCTTCAATTTACAAGCTTTTTGTTCACCAAATAAATGTTAAAACGACATTTTTAAATGGTGATTTGAAAGAAAAAATTTACATGGTACAGCCTGAGGGATGTGTGATTCTTGGGCAAGAAAATAAAGTTTGTAAACTTGTTAAGTCTTTGTATGGCTTAAAACAAGCGCCTAAGCAACGGCATGGGAAACTTGATCAAGTTTTGACAATTGATGAATTCTCTACTGTTGAAGTAGAAAGATATGTTTATACAAAACTTGGTGCTTAATGACTTATAAGTCTAACAGCTCGCACCACTTCTAATTGGAGGTTGAAAGGGGACTCAATGCAAATTCCAAGGTCCATCAACTCTCAAACCCGGATTGACCATCACGATGGCTCTTGAATAATGATTGTGTGATTATATGCTTGCATATGGATCACATGCTAATTTTTGGCTCTAGTATGTGTGTTGTTAATGAAATAAAAAATTTTCTTTCTTTAAATTTTGATATGAAAGATATGGGTGAAGTCAAGGTAATCTTGGGTGTAAAAATCATAAGGAATGAAAATGAAATTTTGCTTTCCCAAGAACATTATGTTGAAAAAATTCTTAAAAGGTTTGGATATATTGAAGATGCTCCTCTAAATGTTCCTTATGATTCAAGTGTGCAATTAAAAAAGCACAAGGATGACCCAGTTGCTCAATCTGAGTATGCATAGATTATTAGAAGTCTATTGCATTTGATGAATTTTACTAGACCTAATATAGCTTATGCTGTAGGCAAATTGAATAGATAAACCCACTGTCCAGGCAATAAACACTGGAAGGCTCTGATAAAAGTCTTGAGATATTTGAGAGGTACCATAAATTATGGTATATTGTATAGTAGATTTCCTACTGTATTGGAGGGATACAATGATGTTAACTGAATTTCGAATTCAAAAGAGACAAAATCCACTAGTAGTTATATACTCACTCTTGGTGGTGGTGCAATAACCTAAAAGTCTACGAAACAGACAATCAACATAAAATCCTTAAGGGATTCTAAATTTATTGCCATGGAACTGGCTGGAACTAAGATTGAGTGGTTGAAAAACTTCTTAACAAGTATTCCAATAAGTGAAAAGCCCACATCATTAGTGTCTTTACATTGTGATAGCCAGTCTGCAATAACAATGGCTAAAAATAAGATCTTCAATGGTAAAAGTAGACATATTCGATTGAAACATAATATTATAAGGCAGCTGCTCAAAAATGGGGCCATCTCAATCGATTATGTAAGATCAGAGTTAAATCTGACGGATCCGTTAACTAAACCCTTAGGGAAGAAATTTATTATTGAAACATCAAGGGGAATGAGACTTAAGCTTGTTTGAAATTAACAGTGATGACAACCCAACCTTTGTGATTGAAAATTCCATGAAGAAGGTTCAATGGGTAAAAACAAGTCACTTGTTAGTTCTGCTAGCACTGAATTTTTGTCCATTCCTATGGCTTGAGAAAATGCTAGAATGCATTGAACGAAAGCTAAGCGAAAGCTCTTAATGTTTTTATAGTCCTCATGGATGGTGTATTCATTGTAGATACACTTGATGAAAACACCGATACAAATGTGGAGTGTGACCGCTCTTATGAGATCGTGATAAAATCTCTAGAGCATTTGTTAAAACCAAGCGTGCACATAACCGATAACATGAAAAATCGTAGTTAACAGCAGAAACTGGGGGGTATAATTCGATTAATAAAACCTTTAATACACGCTCAAGATTTGTTGGTTCAATAACAAAGTTACACCGACTTTTCTATGTGTTAAGTTTTATTAGTCTAAGTTTGGTTTAAGTCGACAGACACCAAATTCAAATGATTATCCTCCGTGTGAATAGCTCAGATGAAAATAAATCCTCTTGACATATGTAGGGGATTGTTGTGTGTGTGTGTCAAAAGTCCGACAGTGAGTAAATGAAAGACTCTCCTAGTGTATAAACACTAAGGAATGAAGTGAGCTAGTAAAATGAACTTAAAGGAGAAGTGAGCTTGCGCGCATGAAACAAGCCAACTCTTCAAGAGACATTGAGTTCCTTTTACCGGATTATTTTTACAAAATAAATAAATAAATTATTTTTTGCTTATCGAAAAATCTCAGCTTTTGGCTATTTGGAGTTTAAAATCAAACCGTGAACTTCTTTTACCATTAACCAGATTAATTTTATAAACGTATTTATCTCCCCAACGTTTCCAGACGAGAGCTTAAATGTGTTTTACGTCTGCGTAACCCCCAACGTGTCCAAACAGGTGTTTAAATGTGTTTTATGAGTGTAACTGAGCCTTTAATTCGGTGATTATGAGCCAATATCCATGTCTCCGTCTTCGGGCTATATATAGCCATAGGGGCGGACAAAAAAACTCACCAGCCTCTTGAGTTTTTGAGGCAATTCTCTCCTCCCTCTAGCTTCTGCTGTGTTGTTCATCTAAGTGCATTTTTAGTTCCTGCTATTCTGGTTCCTTACTCCTGCAGAGAGTGCTTGTTTAATCCTGAGAAACTTCTGGTCCGTCGTCTCGGTGTGCCGGAATAGTTTTTAAGAACAGTGTCCTTCTAGACATGACTCAATCAGCTCGTCGTTCATGTCTATATTGCTGGTACCACCAACATTATGTACAGAGTTTCTTTTACTAATTAAAATGTATCAATTGAGACATACAACATCCTGTTTAATAATTTTAAATTATGAAAAACTGCATAAGATTTCTATAAAGGTTAGATCATATTAATTGGGTCCCTATAGCTCAAGTTATGACTTTTCCAAGTCAATGCATAAAAGCTAGATCTAATACATGGCCCAGATGAGGAAGTCAAAAACTGTCACAACCCAAAAATCAGGTGCGACCAGCACGGGATATGGGCACAAACTCACATCCCTTAAGCCGTGATCGGAGAAACTCTAAAATTAATACGTTGAACACACTAATAGCATAATTAAAAATTGTTACAATATTAAACCAGATATTCAATTTTAAAAGAAATGTTAGGATTCTACCTGTAGTCTACGTGGAACACCTAAGGCTAGACGCCAACGTAGGTATAAAATTCAAATTTTCATCAAATTAGGATTTGACTAAATTATTTCTTCTGCTTCAATTCAACAATAAAACTCCTTAGTGGATATCTTGAGTCACGAGTTCAACTATTCCATCTGAGACCAAAACATCTTTTCTAGCGAATAACGTCCTAACAATAAATAATTGAACATGAATAAAAGAAAAGTTTGAAACAATTATGCAATTCAAAGAGGCAACGATTCTCATAAAAATTTAATAGACTTCGAAAATAAAAGAATTTTATAAAGTTTAAATAAAATTTTGAACTATAAAATATCATATCAAATATTAGTATCACTTAATTGCAAGAAAGTAAATAAATAAAATAAATAATTATAAATAATTTACTAATAAAAAAATGAAATGTAAAATCATCAAATAATCAAATTCATATTTCAAGGACTTGTTAAAACAATTAACAAACGCAGACACATAGTTCACGAGAGTAAATAACCAAACGCAGCTCTTGCCATGAAAACAAATGTGGACACACAATCCACGAGGGTAACCAAACGCAGTCGAAGCCACGAAACAAACGTGGACACATAGTCCACGAGAGTAATGCTAACCAAACACAGCTTGAAGCCACGAAACAAAAGTGAGTACAATGCTCACGAATAACCATCCCTCCGTTCCACGCACGTTGCCATCGCACGAGGCTAGCACCTCCTATAAACACCCTGCTAGCTAGGTGTACCATGACGCGCCAAGGGCTAACGGAATTGTCGTTAGCAACCATTGTTTTATGTAAAGTCCTTTTTTAAAATCATTTTTAAACATGCTAAAAAATCATCACTTTCAAGATACAGTTCTCATTTTCAAAATCAAACTCGCATGAATACTTTTAAGCATTAAAACTTGCTAGAATCAAATTTCATATCTGATGATCATGCTTGTATTTATTGAATAAAAAAAATTTTCAACGTCGAACTCACATGAATCATTCTCTGTATCAATCTAATATTTGATAAAATAAAAATCTCATAATTAAAGTTCAAACTTGACTTAATTGATCAAATAACATTTTAAATTTGGTAAAACAAATTTCTCAAAATAAAGAAATGTTAATCAACAAATATCCAATAATCACATTAATGCTATTAAAATGATTTCCAGAAAAACGTAGTATTTTAGTAAAGAAAATTTTGATTGGAAATAAAAAATCAATTAGGACGCTATCCACTTACCTGATAGATTTTCAAGCATATCGCTAACTTCCAAATTAGCCCTTTTTGCAACAACTCGAGATCCTTAAATTCCTATTGTCCAAATAATACTATAATCATTCTCTTATATACACTTTGCAAATCCAAAATATACAACCTAAATTTATTCAACGATAACAGTAGATAGATTTTTTTTTATTATATTTTTTTTCCGAACATTGCATAATTATTCTTTAGAAATTTCAAAAACTAACAGATCAATGGCAATCTAGTTCTTGAATTATCCATCAAATTATCTATTCCACAAATCTCTAATTTCTATCTCAATTTTCATTATAAAGTGTCTTCTGTAACATTTTAACCAACAATACAACTATCACAAGAATCTTGTCATAATATGTCAGATTCTTCTAGCAAGTATTATTCCAAATACCTTGCAAATACTATCGATTAAATCATGATGTCAAGTTCTCTTCTCTTCTCTTCCAATCTCCTTATAACATATAATAGGATTTTATTGGACTTCCTACAACTCCACTGTCAAAAATTTCGAAGAAATAGCACAAGCAATCCTTATCTTCATTGTTCTCAAACATCTCTATTTCTAATTCCGACTTCCTTTCAAGCATTTTACCGGACATCTCATATGCATTAAAATTCAAACCAACACTAAGCTTCTTCCTCTGTAATGTACTTTCCAAAATTTTTCAAGTATCAATATTTATATTAATCAACACTCTCAAATCCCATCCTTTAGCATACAAAAATTTAGCTTTAACTTCAAAGGCAAAACCAAATTCATATTTATATTTATCTCCAATGACAACAACCTAAATCAATTCAGTTTTTAACCAAATCCAAGTTTTCTTAAACTTCAAATTTCATTTTACTCAAATCCCCCCCAACCATAAAAACACAAACAGCAACAGCAAAACATACAGAGCAACAACCAGCATAAAACATGTACAGCAACAGCAAAACGCGCACAGAGGAACAGCCAGCCATCAAACGCACACAGCAACAGTAAAACGCACACAGAGGAACAGCCAGCCATCAAACACGCACAGCAACAGCAAAACGCACACAGAGGAACAGCCAGCCTTCAAACACGCGCAGCAACAGCAAAGGAGAAGAGACTCCAAGATCCTTACTTCAACTATTGTAGAAACAAGGAGGAGAAGGTTCTGGGTGTGCTAGCAGGGAGGAGGAAAGAAGGCTCTGCAACACCGAACAGGGGAAGGGCCGAACGTCAAGTACGGAAGAAGGAAAGAGGAGAAGAAGAAGAAGAGGAATGTCGGCGGCACAAAGGGAAAGAGAAACGCACGCCCAAGTGACAGATGTACCTTCGGTGCTTAACCAAGCTGACAGCAGAGAAGAGAAAGAAGAAGGATGGCATCAACGCTCACAGCTGCTACACAAATAGAGGAGGAACAGCGGAGGATTTGCAAGCTCCCTAACACCTACCGTGGCGGCGGACAATGCACCCAAGTTCACCGGCGACGGACGATCAAAGATGGGGAAGAAATTTCTGGAACCACTCCCCATCTCTCTCCCCCTCGTTGCAGCCGACAAAAAGGAAGAGGAATGAGGAAAAATCTGGTGCATTACTTTTATTTTAAAAGGAGGGGCATTCTGGTAATTTTGCAAAACTAAAATCAAATTAAAAATCTTTCTTTTGCAACGACTTGATACGTAAAGTATCAATGCAACTCTCACTAAACCAACAATGCTTTTCGTCAAAATATTTTCAAACTTAATATAAATATAATTAAAATATATTATTTTACATTTTAATTTTACTTAAACTTTCTGAGTTATTACATAAACATTACATAAACTATATTAATTGAGAAGTCTTAAAAAATACTCTCTCTAACCTTCATTATAAGACACTTTTAACCGTTTCATGTACCTTAAAAAAATTAATTTTTTTTCTTGATATCATAAAAAAAAAATGAGATGTGCTTATTTGGTTACCCTTAACTTTTAATAATGATATAACTACATTAAATACTTTCATGTTAATCTAAAAAGGGTAAAATTAAAAAAATGATTTAAATATTACAAAGTGTCCTACACTTTAGACTAAAAATTACTTTTAAAAGGTGTCCTACAAATAAGACTGGAGGGAGCATTTCATATCTTTTTGTCTATATAAAGTCATGAGACTTCCGAAGAGTCTAAGATCATGTCAATTGGAGTTCAGTAACTCTATATATGAATTTTACAAGATAGGACTTAGAAATCTGGATCCAATATGAATAAGAACTAAGCAGTTATGAATATTCATTAAACTGTACTAATTGGACAGGCAAAAGTCGTATGGTATATTTTTCTCTTATAGAGGATACCCAAGGCCTTATAATAAGTCCTAGATCACTTGATTTGGATAAGCACGGTCGAAGATATGAATTTTCAAAGTTAAAGTAAGAATTCTGAAATGTTGTAAAGGGAAAATCAGAGCAATTTAGCCAAACGGGTAAAATGCATTAATGTGATCAATCAAAGTTCAGTTTAGAATTTTTCCTATATAGAGGACTCATTTAACTTTAAAAAGAGACTAGAATGAGCTCAATCTGAGTTTCATAGAATAAGTTATAATTTTTTTAAGTTAGTCCAAAATTTTTAAAATATCTAGTTATAGGAAATCAAGATTGAGCTTAAACTTTCAAGTCCATCTTGTCTCTAGTTACACCTAATGGAACCTACCAATTGTAGAAAAAGAGGACTTACCTGGTGCCATAAACCCACGGGTACCTAGATGATACATTGACCGCATACGTACCATGGTAGAGGACTGATTCAAAGCAATGGAAATACCAAAATCAGTAATGTAAGGATGCATATCAGAGTCAAGGAGTATATTCTTTGGTTTGATGTCTCGATGTAATATGGGAGGATCGCAGTCATGATGGAGATATGCCAGTCCTTTTGCAATTCCAATAGTAATCTTGTAGCGGACATTCCAAGATAAGCATGTTTGTGGATTGCTTTCATGCAAAACATCGTGAAGGCTTCCATTTTCCATGCATCTGCTGATGGTTAGACCATATTCTTCACATGTCGAAGAGCCTAGGCATCTTGCCACATTTTCATGCATGAAGTTCTTAGTCATCTCAATTTCTCTGAACAAGTTCAATTTCCTCCTATTGCTCCGTGCAAGTTTAACCTTAATAGCAAAAACTCCAACACCAAGTTCAGCTTTATAAACAATCCCATGCCCTCCTCCACCAATTATATATCGATCATGTAGAAAATCTGCAGCATCTATTAGGTCAATAATTCTAAAACCCCTCTCGTGATTTGAAAACAAAGCCTCTTTCTCTTCACAATTAACATTGACCTCCATATAAGATATTAGACCAAACTGCCGGATGTAAATGACAAATCATAGGTAAATTACACATGACAGGAAAATGGTAGATGACAAGAATATGGCAAAAATCATTAGTCCAAGTACTACTAAATTCGAATGTTTGTTGCCTTCTTGGTCAGTTGAATTAGTGGCGCATTGCTTCAAATGGCTAGTTTTTAAGCACCTCAGGCCATCTGAAGTCGAACAACTAACACAAAGGCCAAGATTGCCCAAGAATGATGATGGAGATAAATTCAGTCGTTGAATCTTCCATTCTGGTAAAGGACCGAAGAATGAGTTGTAAGATATATTGACTTCTGTTAATGAAACAAATTCGCCAAGAACTTGTATGCTCTCTGTCAAACTGTTCAGGGATATATCTAGACTTTCTAGCATTTTCAACTTCCCAATGTCTTCGGGGATCCCACCTGTTAATTTGTTAGCGCTCAGATTCAACTCATACAAGTGAACCAATGATCCAATTGATGCAGGAATTGTTCCTTGGATCATATTTCCACCAAGTTGTAGCTCGAGAAGCTGAGTATAACCTGAGAAGAAATATGGGAAAAACCCACTGAAATGATTCTCTCTTAAAATCAATCTGTTTATCCTAGTCCAGCTCCTCATGCTTGACGGGAATGAACCGTTAAGAAAATTATATCCCACATGAAATGTCCACATTTGAGTACAGTATGACAGTTCCGGTGGCAAAATACCTTCGAGGTTATTGTGAGCAATATTCAAAGCTTGAAGTTTCACGAGGTTTCCCAGCTCTGAGGGTATAAGACCTATAATGTTATTCATGGACAAAATTAAACCAATAAGATTTGTACAGTTTCCCAAACTTGATGGAATTACTCCACTGATGTTGTTCTTGCCAATGTCTATGACTAAAAGATTCTGATTACCTTCAAATTTAGGAATAGACCCTGAAAGATTATTGTCATTGAGAACCAACCGTGTAAGAGTTGCACACTTTCCCAAATCTTGAGGTATGCCCCCCCTTGAAGTTGATTAAGACCTAAATACAGAGTGCGCGGTTGCTTTCCAAAACAAAGATTTGGCGGGATGTTACCAGTGAACGTATTATTCATCAATCTCAGCATCACTAAACTGCTATTGATTCCCAACCTTGAGGAATTGGTCCAAAGAATTGATTGTCAGACAATGAGATATTTTTCAGATGCTTGAGCTCTGTCAACTCAGAAGATAATTTCCCCGTGAGGTTATTATCCTGAAGAAGGACATGCTTGAGACTCTGAATCTTCCAAATGGTAAGTGGAATTTCACCTGTCAAATGGTTGGTCTACAATTCAAGGTCCTCCAATTTACTTAGTCTTCCCAACTTATTTGGAATGGCTCCCTGTAGTTGATTGGAATATAAACGTAACGACTTCAAAGATTTGCAGTTTCCAATTTCTGGAGGCATTTTTCCAGACAATTGATTCTTAGAAAGATCAATATACTCAAGCAGACTACAATTGCCTAACTCTGGGGGTATTGTTCCTGAGAAACCATTTATTGCCAACGAAAAGTTCTGCAAGTGAGTCAACTGTCCAATTTCTGTCCCAAGCGGTCCAAAAATCTGAGATGCAGTGAGGTTTAGGAAGACCAAGTTGTTGTAGCGGTCGCATTTTATTCCTATCCAAGAACAAGGAGTAGAATCAGAGGACTTCCAGCTGGACTTCAAAGAAGGAGGCACAGAAGTCCAGTGGTTGAGGAGTGACAATAGAATCAGCCCATCTGAATTCAAGGTAGAAGCAATGTAGAAAGGAGCAGACAAGCATAGGATAAATAATAAGAGCTTCACTGGGAGAAGAAAAGAGTTGACACTGAGGAAAAAAAAATGTTGAAGAACAAAAGGTGCTTACTTTGGTGCTGTTTAGAACAAGTGTGCGTAATTGAAAGGTTGTGTACAGGTATTTGCACAGTGCTATGGATGAAGTTGATGTAATGTGAAGCAGAGGAAGTTGCCGTGAGAAAACGTTGAGGGGGCATTCCTCTCGTTGAGATTACCGTCTGTCATCCAGCACCTTTTTTGTCAAGAAAAATATTTGCCTTGTTTTCGGGGAGATTTGGTTGGCAATAACTGGTGAAATTATAGTTTGAGTCGTACTCAAAGACACTGTCCTTAAAAATTATTCCGTCACTCCTAGCTGATTGCGTGGCAGCTCCTCAGGGTTAAACAGACTATTCTTACTAAAAGTAAGGACACAAAATAATAGAAATTCATCAAATATACTTAGGTAATTGCACAATAAATTAATATGATAGAAGAGGAGAGAAAGACCGACAATACTAAGGCTTTTACTAAACCTGTGGCAAGCATTGCCTTTTATATGCAGATCTCATAATGCTGGACAATAAAACCACCTTAATATTAATTTAAAAAATAGTTACAAAAAATAAAAAGGTTAAATAAATATATTTAAATAGGGGATTATGGTAATTAATCTTAATTTATTTCATAGTAACTCCTTTTAAAATATTAAAGATATTTTATAATATCCAACAATCCACCACATATTTCAAAAGAAAGGAAAATTTTCTCAAAAACTATTTTATACAAGTAATATGTAACTCCACATAATAGTTTTCAAAACTTTAGAAAAAATGCCCAGTCTGTTTGATACCACATTTAGCTCACGTGTGAGTAATTGCATTTGCATGAGCCCACATCTACTCTAAGTCCATTTATTTGCCCAAGCTCATACCTTAGTATACATGCATTAATGCCTCCATTCATTTGAGCAATATGAGACTTTTCTTTTTGACACAATTGGAACAATCCCCTCCATGCGTTAAAAGGATCACTATCATTTGAGCTATTCACATAGAAGATAATCACTTCAAATTTGGTGTCTTTCGACTTGAACCAAATCTAAACTAATAAAATTTAGCACACGAAAAAGTCAATATAACTTTATTATTAAACCAACAAATCTTGGTCGTGTACTAGAGGTCTTATTAGTCAGTGTATACCTCCACAATTTCCATTGTTAACGCGATTTTGCACATTATCGACTATGCGTGCGCCTGGTTTTAACAAATGCTCTAAAGATTTTGCCCAATCTCATAGGAGTGGCCCCACTCCACATTCGTATAAGTGTTTTCATCAAGTGTATCTGCAATGAATAAACCATCCATAAGAATTATGAAAAATATTAAGAGCTTTTGCTCAGCCTCCGATCAATGCATTCTAGTACTTTCTCAAGTCATAGGAAGGGATAGAAAATTTAGTGCTAGCAGAACTAACAAGTGACTTGTTCTTATCCATTAAATCTTTTTCATGGGATCTTCAATCAAAAAGGTTGGGTTACCATCACCATTAATTTCAAATAGGCTTAAGTCTCATTCCCCTCGACATTTAAATAGTGAATCTCTTCCCAAGGGCTAGTTAACGAATTCGTCAGATTTACATCTGATCTCATGTAATTGATTGAGATAACTCCCTTTTTTAGCATGCTTTATTGTGTCTCAATCGATATTACCTATGTCATTATTCTCTTTGCAATGATCATTGCCATTTGGCAATTACAAATTATTGACATAGTTTGTGTTAGTTTTATTCATAGTAGAATATTCATTGAAAAGTTTTTTAACTACTCAGCCTCATTGTTAGCCAACTTCAGAGTAATAAACTCTAACTCAAATAACATTTTATTTGGCTACTAATAGATTTTTCTTCATCTGAATATAAAATTCAGTTAACATCATTGAATTGTCTTAATACAATGGAAATCTATTATACATGATACCAGCATTTATGGTATCCCTCAAACACTCATTTGTCTCATGCTCTTATGAGACTGAATCTCCATGTAATGTATGTTATGAGATTAACACTTATTAATGCAACAAACTCTCACAAATTTGCGCATACACAAATAAAGCAACAAAAATATATCATTTTTTTAAAATGACATATCAGCCTCATAAGAATTCATTGACACTATATGTCGATTTTACACAACAAAATAATTGCTTAAATGATCTTTAGCAACTTAGCCTCCAATCCAGTTTCAAATTAATTAGCTTGGACTCTACTATGGTCCTATCATTATATTTTGATTTCATCACTACCAGAGTGGATAATCATTAGTGGGTTTTCTCACATAAATTTATAATTCAGTAAACATCCATATATTTTATATAGTAGGAATCCACTATACTCAATTCCATAATTTTTAAAAAAAATAGTTATATCATGGGATCATAACACAAATCATTATTTACAATAATGAATACTCCTACCAAGATATATTATGAAATAGGTCATGCGGCTATTTCAAAATTCATTTATCTACACTAGGCAAATGATTAACTTTTATGCCACTATCTTGATAAATCACAATTTTTTTTAGTATTTATGCAAGTCATAAAGCCTCCACATAATTTTTCTCTAAACTACAACTGGACATTTATAAAAACAAACTAATATTTCAGCACAACACATTTTTCAACAAATACCATACATTAAGCACCCCCACACTTTCAAATATTTCAATCATATGAAAATTTCATACATTCTCAATAACTCTAACTGAACTAGAATCTAACTATATCATCACAATTTTTCTTATCATCATATTTCTCATATGCCATGGCAAGGGAAATAAACCTCTTCCATGTGTCATTATCGGTCAATATATCTATGACAAAAACAGCAAGTAATGGACCTAACATAAAAATTATTGTCTCCACCAATTCAATGTCCATCAAATCCTTAATTTTAACATCAACAATGCTTCAACAATTTAATCAATACTATGACTATCTCAGTTTAATAATAACAGAACTAAAACAAAATAATTTTATGTCTCAACACTGCCAAAATTCTAAAACCCACCTTCATATGTGTGTATATATATATATATTTACAAAGGTGCATATTTTTCCATACGTTATAATCATAATGTATATTACCATGACATAGTATGGTAGCATCACAAGCAAATGAGATGAGATCACAAAATCCATCACCGATATGCAAATATACTAGTTTTTGTGAAATTTTATCAGCCTTGAAAACAAATCGCAATCAACCCTACATTGACCATAGGTTTTGCATATATTCGATTAATATTATTGCCATACCTAGGGAAATGATTAATCACCATTCCAATGCTTAATACATGTTGCTGTAATAACCCAGATGTTTAAAATAATAATAAATTAATTAAACATATGTTAGTTATATTAATTTTGAGACAATTAGGACAAGAAGGAATGTTGATGTAGTGGAAACTATGCAAATAATATGCCTTTAGGTCCTAAGTTCAAACCTAACTCTGGCCTAAAGGAGATTTATTTATTTTATTTACTCCATGAAATTACTAATATGTCCTTCTTTGCATCAGATTTTTTTCTTCTCCTTTTAATTCTTTTTTTGAACGTTTGAGAAGCAGAGAGAGAGAGAGCTAGATTTCTAGGTCCTTGCTTGTCTCCTGTCGCGTTTCTGCTTCCTCCCCTCTTGATCGTCGGTCACTGTTGTCTGTGTAAGTCTCTGTCGCCGATGCCTGCTGCTATTTCATCCGCTACAGCTGTGAGATTTCCCTTCCTATCTCACCATTCCTCTGCCGTTATCATCATCCCAAGTATGCCCAGTTCTTCTTCTTCTTCTTCTTCTTCTTCTTTTTCTTGTTGTTTCGTGTGTATAATTGCTTAAGCAAGCTAGAATTCTTTCTTCTTTTTTGTTTCTTTGGTCACCACTGAGCTACTCATCTCTTTTCTATGCTTGATTTTGATTCTCATTACCCCCTATACAGACCTGATGTTTGCTTCCTCCTTCCTGTTTGGATGTTGTTAATTCATCTAGTTGATAAGCTTTGATCTCTTCTTCTTTCCTTAGACAATTGTGGTGCGTGCAAATGGAAGAAGTGAAGGAATGAAGTTTGCAATTTGTTTTCTTTCAAATTTGCTGCTGTCATTGCTGTGTTGAAAAAAAAAGAAAAAAAAGAAGATGGTTGAGAATTTAACTTAAAGATTGATAAAGGTATACTCATAGGTTATAAATTTTGAGTTAAATTAGACTTGTTAGATTGGTTAATATATAAAAGTATTTGTTTAAATGAAATAGAAAGAGAATACTTTGAATTTAAATTTTGAATATTGGCACTTATAAGATGGTTGTTGAAAGGTTTATTAGAAAAGGTTGCAAAGAAGGTCTGATTTGGAAGTAATATGCGAATATCTGAATTTTTAAAAATTTATTTCTTAAATTGAAATTGACATTTAATGGGAATTGGAGTCGTGAAGTATTATAGTTGTGTTGATAACTATTAGGGAAAATGATTTAAGAAAGTAAAGAGATTTAAATAATGATGAAGGACAAACTTTAATTTATTTAAGTTGATTGTGATTTTGCTATTAGAGTAAGAGAGTTTGTTTCTCTAGTAGTAAATTTATTAAAATTCTATCATGTTTAATAGGGTCACGAGAAGAGGGGAAAACTTGATTGCAGCAGTAAAAAGAAGGAGATTTTTAGAATTAGGTGGTATATCAAGTAAGTAAATAACGTTCCCTATACGTTAAAATGAGGATGATTTTTGTCTGAATAAATAAATAGAACTTTTCTCGAGGAAATTTTATGTTTATACATATATATTATGGAGCCTTCAAATGTTTTCATTGAAGAATGTACCTGGTTTCATAGGATTTAAATTTATTAGCTTATATTTTCATTTGGTTATTTGTTTTCCAAACACATTATTCGTGCATAGGTTGAACAATCTACCAGTGGGAAGATCTATTAGGCATTAATAATTTGCGAACAAATTGAGCTACAAATATATTTTCTTTCCATGCATGCTAGAAATATTTTATAGGACTGAATACAGAACGCTGGTTGTTAACGATAGTTTTGTTAGCCCTTGGCGTGCCATAGCACACCCAGCTAGCAGGGTATATGGGAGATGCTAGCCCCGTGTGTCGGCCAACACATGTGGAATGGAGGATATAATTTTGTGGATGTAATCCACGCCTGTTATTCGTGAGCTTTATGCTTGCGCCTGTCTTCATGGTTTCTAACCACGCCAGATGTTACTTACCCTTGTGGACTGTGTGTCCACACCTGTTATTCGTTCTGTCTAAGTCCTAACAGAAAACCAATTTTCCAAATTGTTTACTTTTAAGAACTATATCATTATAATTTGTTTTATATAAAAGATAAAATTTTAATTTATTGATCACGATTATCTTTCCCCTTTTCTCTTTTATTACTTAATTATTATTTATTTACTTGTTTATTTTCTGGGAACATTATTTACTGGAAAAATTTTGGTATTCAGATAGTGGGAGTGAACCTGCTCTTCAGTAGATCTTCTGGGACATCTTGAGACGAGGGATATTTTGTTGCTTCAATTACATAGTGGATGAGTGTAAATATCTAAATATTCTGCCTTTTTGTTCTAGAATCGCTCCACGAATCATATAGGCAAGATCCTCAATTAAATTATTTTGGGTTTGTATATATTGTATCGAAGTAGAACTCCGAATGTTGCTTGGATATGCTTTTGGCAGGTTGTAGAAATTTTGGGAAGTCCAACTTACAGCGGAGACTCTGCCGAAATTTTTACAATTAGTTCAAATATTTTACATTTACTGATAATTATTTAATATAAATGAGAATTGTACAATAAATTCCAATTAATTTGACAAACATATTAAGGATTTAGGCTTAAGGAATATGAGTTTTCTCATATTCCAGCTGATCACATTTCAAAAGTTTGGGGTGTGATAGTTGCGGTCCAAATAATAAATACAATAAATATTTCAAATTAATCAAACTGACACTAGCATGTTGTGACCATCTAAACAAGTTATGCAACTAATCGAGCAATCCTACAAATTATAATATTTTAAAGGTAATATAAATAATTAAGTTCCTATACCCAGATACTCATAATTATGACTTTAACCGAAAAATGATTTAATTATCATCCTCGTAGATTGCAAACCGAAGCAAGGCAAGTTTAAAAAAAAATTTGGTAAGCTTGTATATAGTAAATACACCGATTGATTGCAAAAAAAATTCTACAATAAACAACCATATGAATATGAAATAAAGTAAATTGTTCATACAAAACAGTAAAAATATTTAATGTCGACTTTTAACGTTGATATAATCATCATTAACCATAAAATAAATCTTAGTAGTTGAAAACTTTCAAACACTAGTAATTACTCACTGTTTCAGCTTCACACCAAGTGCACAATTATAGATAAAAATACAAGTATCATGTATTCATACCTGTTGAAGAAAACCATGCCATTTGTGAGTGACAAACAATCCTAGAAAACATGCATGTTCAATGATAGCATATCCATTTCTTGAATCACCAAGCACTAAGACCAAGACTTCCTAATTAGTAGAAAGATTCTCAATTTTTAAAAATTGCAAGTAAAGCAAGACATGCCCATCCTCATTGTTTTTCCACCACCATCACTATTCATGCTAGGACTTTCCACCCAAAATGGTGCCTTTGAGGTCTTAAGTGAGTCCGAATTTTGGGGCGATCGAATTTGGCACTGGTGGTGTTCACATCCACCATTACCTATCTCAAAATTATGCTTACTCACATGTTCCCCCACACCCAATTTTATTCATAAACATCATCGAATCTCACTGCCTCATCACGTACCTCTATTAGGTACAGTTTAGTAAAACCAAACAAGATTAACTTGTTGAGAATAGCTCTTAATATTGTTGGTAATAGCTGGTGAAATCATAGCCTGAGTCGTGCTCAAAGACACTGTCCTTAAGAGCTATTCCGCCACTCTCGGTTGATCGCGCGACAGCTTCCCAGGATTAAATAGACTCTTCCTACTAAAAGTAGAGACACAGAACAATAGAAATTCACAGAATATACTCAGGTAATTGCACAATAAAGTATGATAGAAGAGGAGAGAAAGGCTGACAATACCAAAACTCTTACTGAACCTGTGGCAAGCATTACCTTTTATAGGCAGATCTCATAATGCTCGGCAATAAAACCACCTTAATAATAATTTAAAAAATGGTTACAAAAATAAAAAGGTTAAATAAATATATTTAAGTAGGGAGTTATGATAATTAATCTTAATTTAATCCATAGTAACTCCTTTCAAAATATTAAAGATATTCTATAATATCTAACAGATTCTACAACAACAACTTTTCTCATTTCCGTTAGATGCTCCATATACGATGCTTATCATTCTAGCTACCAATCAAAGTATGTCAAGCCTATTTCCTGGAAGTATCGTGGGAGGAATGCACATATATACACACAAAATTATACGACCTCAAAGTTGTCAATTCTTCATCATTAAAGCCTATGGAGTTTAGTCAAAAATCAGAAGAGGTTGGCAATTGAGAACCCAATGCTTAACAAAGATAGTCCCTCTCAGGAAAAGAGTGGAAGCCTTCACATAGGAGTCCTGACTTGTTGACTTCGTTGTTGTGGATTTAGGGCCAATTTGTTTAAGATTTATTAAAAAAAAACAAAAAGAAGAAGAAGTGATTTTAAACAAGAAAACATTTGTTAAGATTGTGAGGGAGGTAAGCTAAACACAATGAATGATGTATCGAAAAATAAAAGAAGCTTATTTTCATAAACTATTTGAAATATCTTATTAAAAAAAGCTAAAAACATTTTTTTTAAACTTAATGTCTTCCAATATCTCAAGTGTTAAATAACTTTTTCCTGCAATTTTAGACAAACTAGCCCTAATAAATATCATTGTCAATGTTTGTTCACTAGTTTTCCTTTACTTGAATTCTACAATGACATCCCAATCTTCTAATAGGAGTGCCCTCACTTGACGGATCTGGTCCACATACAGATGATTCAAGTTTGTCATTATGTGTGTAGACTAATTACCTGAGCACAATCAATACATTACATATCATAAGAGCAGACATATCAAGTCCCAACCAATATATGTACAAGTAATGCTATCTTACTAATTCCAGTGCATGTGAGGATCAACTGTCCATCTTTTCCTTGTTATTATCTTACCAATTAAATTGCTTGATAACATCTCTCATAGTTGGTCTCATGCGTGGATCTGCCTCTGTGCATCTCAGAGCCAGGGAAAACAATTCGGTGACTTGTTGGAGTTCATTGGGATTTGAATACAAAACCTCCTCTAAAAGGCTTGAATCAACAATTTTATGAATGTCTCCTGTCTCCTCTAAGAGACTTCTTACCCAATCCCCTATCTCAGTTCCCCTAATAAATGATGAATCCACTGCCTTCTTTCGAGTTATCAGCTGAAGCAAGACTACCCCATAACTGTACACGTCAAGCTCCCTAGTGATAGTTGTATATATACTTCTTCCTGACCAACATAAAGATGTTACATATTTTAAAGTAAAATATATAGACTTCCCAGTTAATTTATAATATATTCAGAAAACTCCTTTCTATTTTCAAACATATACAAGCCTTCTCTAAAATCAATAGTTTCAAAACACAAAATTCTTCCATTTTTAAAATTTTATTTTCATCCAACCAACCATTAATTAACTGTTAAGTAACGTATATTGGATCAAAATACCTTCTTCAAACATGAATGTTATCTAAAAATAATTCAAGATATCCAAAAAAAATTAATGCATATGTTTTTAAACCTTTTATTCATATTTTAAACTCTATAAGTTTAGCAAACTTATTTATTTAGTACTTTTAAAAAAAATATAAGTACATAATTATCTAAAATAATATTTCAAACACAAATGCACAAAAAAATGATGAAATACGGATATTATATATAATAAGAAATAAATTAGTCAATATAATTTATGTTTATTGTTCTTTAAATTTTATTCCTTTGTTCAAATATTTTTAAATTATTTATTTAAATATTGTCATTTTTAATTATTTAAAGTTCCTTAAGTTGAGGAGCGAGACTAGATTATAAAGGCAAATTAATAATTTCATTTTTTTAACATAATTAAAAATTAAAATTAAAATATTTTTGAACCTTTAATGGAATAACACAAACAGTGTTAAAAATTGGGTCAAAGTGTAAGTTTCAAAAAAAGAGAAAAATCTTTGTAATGTTAGTAAAATATAAGGGAGTATTGCTCAAGGGAGGTTCAGAACGAGTACCTGGTGTGACTCGAATAGATGAGGAGGGTGTTGTGGAAGATTGAACCAAAAGCTTGGCAACACCAAAATCAGCAATACGAGGCTCCATATCAGAATCCAGAAGTATATTTTTTGGCTTGATGGCACAGTGCACTATGGCAGGATCACAATCATGATGAAGATATGCCAAACCTCGAGCAATTCCAGCTGCTATTCTATAACGAACATCCCAATTCAGCGATGGTGGGGGTTTCTTTTCATGCAAAACATCGTGCAGGCTTCCATTTGGCAAGTACTCGTACCACAGTACACCTTCTTTTTCTTTGATTGAACCCCAAAACATTTTAACTATGTTTCGGTGCTTAACCATTCCAAGCATTTTCATTTCTCTCTTTGCACTTAAGATGTTGCCTAAGTTCCCAGCAAATATAAGCTTCTTTACAGTAAAGACATCACCAGTTGGAACTTCAACTTTAGAAACAACTCCAGGAGTTCCTGGGCGGATGATATTCAGATTATTTGAGTTTGCAGAAGCCTCCTTTTCATGAAGATCTGATAACGAACCTTCATCGGAAGGGATCTTGACTTCCCCCTTAGAGATTGGAAATTATCACACAGAAAAACTTTCAAAATAAGAGGGATGCTTAACCAAAATACGAACAAGTAAATAAAGAGAAACCACTTGATAATGGCTTTTGATGTCCAAGAACAATGCTATTACCAAAACCACCATATAACACTATCATCAAATTGGGAGAGATTTATAAAATGTGGTCATTTGGTTTGGGTCTTGGAAACAGCTTTTTGCAAAAATGCATCCTACAATAGACTCAAAGAAATTTAAAAATTTAAAAGAATAGAATTCATATTATAGAAAAATTCTCAAAAAAGATGAAGCTATTAAAATATCCCAATGAGGTTGTCAAGATCTGTTGCAAAATTTGTATAACACTAAATATTTCAATGAGAGGGCAATACTAGCTCCTATTAGTGAGAGTGTTGATCATATCAATGATTATATGTGTGCTTTACTACCTGGTGAATCAATTGAATATTTAAGTTCAGACTCAGTTTGTAAATTTACTGAGAATAGTGATTCTTTTAATGATCTTTATATTACTGAATTCCTTAACACAATCACTTGCTCCGGCTTGCCTCCTCATAAACTTATATTGAAAGTAGGAGCACTTGTAATGTTGTTGAGAAATATAGATCAAGCATCTGGTTTATGTAATGATACAAGATTACGCATCACTCGTCTTGGAAAAAGTGTTATTAAAAGTATAACATTGAATGGATCAAAGCAGAATCAGAAAGTATTAATTAATTGAATAGACATGAATCCTTCAGAAAGTAGAGATGGCTATTTCGTATGCAACGAAGACAATTCCCTATTAGTCTTTCCTTTGCAATGACTATCAATAAAAGTCAGAGACAATTATTGAAACATGTTGGATTGTATCTCACTAAGCCTGTCTTTACGCATGTTTAATAATTTTTCACATTATCAAGGGTTAAAAGCGTTGAAGGTTTGAAAATACTTTTGTATGATGGTACAGGTGTTGAGAAGGCGACCACCACGAATGTTGTGTATGAAGAAATATTTAGGAACTTAGTGTAACTTATTCTCATTTAGTGTAGTGTGTTTTGTTGCTATTGTTTTTTATGTAATCGTCATTATTGTTGATCTGACATTTCAATGCATTGCAGTGTATTATTGAATCATAGTACATGTTTAATGAATTAAGACGAACATTTTCACATCTTCGCATACATATCAAGTACATTATAATGTGATTATAATTATGCATAACAAGTTTAATCTCCCCGTGGTGTTTAAAGCTAGTTATTTTAAAAAATGGAAGTCAAATTATTTAAATTGAATATAAAAACTTTTATTAGTATCTTGATAAAATATATATATACATACACAGACACAAACCCTCCCTAAACTTTGCGATTGTTTTGTATCCCTTTCCTAATCTTTAATCGTTTAAATTTAGGACCTTAATGTTTTAAATTTTAACCATCAACTCTCCTAATGTTAAAATTGTAGTTCAAGTTGACAGTTTATACTTGAAATTATGTGTCAAAGTATTTAACAGTAAAGGAGTTTATGGCTAACATATGAAACACTAGGGTCCTAAATTTAAACATTCAAAGATTAGGGAAGTGATAAGCAAATAGCCCAAAGTCTAAAAAAGGCTTTCATATTTTAGTCTAAAAAATGAAAAATTGAGAATTGAATAAAAGAGAATTTAGATTGAAAAAATTTACAAAAAATAAAGCCATGAAAATGCACTCGTGGGGTTGTAGGACAGAATGTAGTGAGCGCTTGCACCGAACCCAAATCTCATAGTAAACACATGTAGTGGAACGAAACAGAGGAAAATCGGAACTTTCCAAACAGCTATTCTGAAAATAAATTAATTACCTGAAAAAATAAAGAGGCCGCAGCAGTGGCGAGGGAATATCCCAAATGAAATGAAGCTTCGTGATCTTGAACCAAAATTACTGCATAAATTAGATAACACATTAGTCTCAGCCCTTCAAACAGATCTGAACAGAAAGGAAGCATGATTAGAGTATGTATGTGATTTCCTTATTTCTGCCAAGTTGTGCTTTAAAATGATGAAATTAAGCATCAGGATCAGATGCCATGTCAATCAAAGAATAGTTCCTACCTGGATCTATGGGTGTTTCAAAGAATTCCACAACATCTATCATTTTCAGTCTCTTTCCCGGATCTTTCTGAATACATATCAAAGCCACTAAAAGTGCTTTGATAACGTGCGCCTTCACATTTACATCTGAAAGCTCCCTTCCGAGGCTTGAATCAACAATTTCTTCAAGTTCTCTTGTTCCCCTCCATACAGACTTAAACCACCCTACTAAAGTGGTTTCCTGGTCCATAAACGAGGAATCTAATACTTGCTTTCTAGTTATCAGCTCAAGCAAAACTACCCCATAACTATATATATCAAGCTCACAACTTGGTACTATCACATAGGCGATCTCTGTCAAGACAACATTAACAACATAAATTGAAAGAGAAACTATACCTTTGGCTTATGTTCATATTTGTTTATGAGAATAAGAAACTATTAATTGCTCAATGCGGAGGAAAATGGCTATCCCTCTTCCACCTGCATGCGTACCTTCACTGCTAGTTCATCATCTGGATAGATATGTTCTTCATATAGGCTGAAATCTACCTAGTTTTATTAACATGTCACAAATAGAAAATGAGCAAGTGTAGAACAAAAGCAATTACCTGGGGCCATAAACCCTCGTGTACCTAGATGATATGTTGACCGCATACGCATCACAGTAGAGGACTGATTCAAAGCAATGGAAATACCAAAATCAATAATGTAAGGCTGCATATCAGAGTCAAGGAGTATATTCTTTGGCTTGATATCTCGATGCAATATGGGAGGATCAAAGTCGTGATGGAGATATGCTAGTCCTTTTGCAATTCCAATAGCAATCTGATAGCGGATATTCCAAGCTAAGCATGCTTGTGGATTGTTTTCATGCAAAACATCATGAAGGCTTCCATTTTCCATGTACCTGCTGATGGTTAGACCATACTCCTCATTCACCAAGAAGCCTAGGCATCTTGCCACATTTTGATGCCTAGTCTTTCTGGTCATTTCAATTTCTTTGATCATGTTTATTTTCCTCCTACTTTTCCTGGGAAAGTTAACCTTCTTAACAGCAAAAACTCCAAAATCAAGTCTGGCTTTATAAACAATTCCATGCCCGCCTTTGCCAATAATATATCGATCATGTAGATTCTCTGTGGCATTTATCAGGTCAATAATTTTGAATTCTCCTTTGTCATTTGAATCCAAAGCCTCTTGCGCTTCACAATCAGCATTCCCCTCCAACATAGATCCTTGGCCAACATCGTTGATGGAAAAAACTCGCTCACGAAAATAAGGATCGAAGTCCTCAGATCCTTGGCCAAAGACCTTCTCCTGAGATCGTTGGCCATAATGGTGGTCATAAATCAGTAATATTACCGACAGGCAAATGATAAACACTACAAATCCAAGTACTATAAATAAGATTGAACGTTTACTGCCTTTGTGATCAGTTGATTCAGAAACACATGGTTTCAAGAAGCTAGATTTGCAAGTGGAGGCATTTGAGGTTGAACAACGGACACACAGACCAGGGTTGCCCATGAATGATGATGGCAGCAAATTCAGATGTTGCATTTTCCACTCTGGCAAAGCACCGACAAAGGAGTTGTGTGATATATTGACTTCTGTTAATGAAGAGAGATCAGCAAGAACATGTATGCTTCCTGTCAAATTGTTCAAGGATATATCCAAAATTTGCAACTTTTTCAACTTCCCAATTTCTAAAGGAATCTCACCAGTTAATTTGTTAGCACTCAGATTCAATCCATACAAGAGATTCTGCAATGATCCCATTGATGTTGGAATTTTTCCTCCAAACATATTTCCTCCCAAACATATTTCCTCCCAGTTGTAGCTCGAGAAGCTGGACATATTCTGAGAAGAAAGATGGGATAACCCCACTAAAGCAATTCTCCCTTAAAGTTAATTTGGTCAGTCTTCCCCAACTCCTCAAGTTTGACGGGAATGAACCATTAAGAAGATTGAATCCCACATCAAATGTCTCCATTTTGGTACAGTATGATAGTTGCTTTGGCAAAGGACCTTCTAGGTTGTTGTCAGCAAGGTTCAAAGCCTGAAGGTGGAAAAGGTTTCCTAGCTCTGACGGTATAGGCCCAGTAATGTTGTTGGCGGACAAAATTAAAGCAGTGAGATTTGTACAGTTCCCTAAACTTGATGGAATTGTTCCAGTAATATTGTTCTTACTGATGTCCATGTATATGAGATTCTGATTACCTTCAAATTCAGGAATAGATCCAGAAAGATTATTTTCATTGAGAACCAACCTCCTAGGAGTTGCACATTTTCCAATATCATGAGGTATGCCCCCTTGGAGTCTATTAAAACCTAAATTTAGTAGGCGTAATTTCTTTCCAAAACAAAGATTTGGAGGGATGTTACCAGTGAACTTATTATTCATCAAGTCCAACTTCACCAAACTGCTATTGATTCCCAGGCCTTGAGGTATTGATCCAAAGAATTGGTTGTCAAACAATGAGATATTTTCCATATGCTTAAGCTCTGTCAGCTCTGAAGGTAATTTCCCAAAAAGGCTATTGTTATGAAGAAGGATATGCTTAAGACTTTGAATCTTCCAAATGGTGAGTGGAATTTCACCGGTCAAATGATTATAATACAATTCAAGGTCCTCTAGTTTGCACAGTCTTCCCAATTCATTTGGAATGGCTCCCTCTAGTTGATTGGAATATAAATGTAACGACTTCACAGATTTGCAGTTACCAATTTCTGGAGGTATGTTTCCAGAAAAATGGTTCTCAGAAAGATCTATATACGTTAGCAAACTGCAATTGCCTAACTCAGGGGTATCCTTCCTGAGAACCCATTTTTGGCCAATAAAATGTTCTGCAAGTGAGCCAACTGACCAATTTCTGCTCCCAGTTGACCAAAAATCCGGTATGCAGTGAGGTTTAGGTAAACCACATTGCTGTAACGGTCGCATTGTATTCCTGTCCATAAGCAAAGGGGTGGAATCAGAGGACTTCCAGCTTGACTTTAAGGAAGGAGGCGCAGAAGTCCAGTGGTTGAGAAGAGACAATAGAGTCAACCCATCGAACTCAAGGCAGAAGCAACATATAAAGGGCAAACAAGCGTAATAGATAAATTGGAGACTCATTCGGCCAGGGGAATTCTCTTTAAACAAAGAAAAATTATTGACACAAAGATGGGAAAGATTGGAGAGGAGCAAAAAGCGCTCACCTGGCTGCAACTTAGGCAATTAGAAGGGTGTTGTATAGGTATTTGCCACTGTTAAGGAGGAAGCTGATTAAATGTGAAGGAGAGGAAGCTTCAGAGTGAAGATGTAGCTGGGGCCTTCTCATTGAGACTACTATTAACATTTAACACTTTTTTTGGGGAGATGGACGGGGAAAACTGGAAGAATCAGATTTCAGTAAGTTTAGATTAAAAGAGGTGCACAAGTCAGTACTTCAAGAATGAAGCAGAGTCAACCCACTGGAGCCCAAACCAGAAGCCATGTGTAAGTGAGCAGAGAAGCATGGGATCGATAACTGGAGTTTCCGTGAGAGTGAAAATAATGTGCTAGCTTAAGTTAAAGGGGATGGAAATGATATCAAAAAGTATTCAAAGGACCAAAAAGTGTTTCCCTTGCTGCAGCTTGAAAGAAGGATAGGGAATGCAATATGCAGTGGACGTTGGTGGGTGTCACTTCTTTCCTTTGTCTTCACTCCAGCAACCCACCTTCCCCTATTCTTTTTCTTTGTTTTCTAATCTTCACTTTGGCAATGGCAAAAGATAAGTAAGTTTCAATCCATCTTTTAGCTCTTTATTTAAAGAGAAGTTCAATGAGATGAAAAGTGGGAACAGTTTTGGGCAATTATAGTGATTGAAATGGAAAAGGAGAAAGCTTTCACTTTCAAATATCGATTATTGTGGATCAAATACATATCCTTATTATTGTCTCTTCATTCCATACTATTATTTTCCAACTTTTTTTTGGGAGATGCTAATTCAAATAAACAAATATCTCATAGGTATTGAAATTTGGAAAAGCAGTGGAAACATAATTTTCTGTTTAATTATAAACTTTTCGGGACACAAAATCAAAAATATAATTGCATTAAGCATGAAACTTCAGAACAAAGACAGGAGATGCACAATGCTTTATATAAAATGAAAACATAAATTTTACAGTGTGACAAAATAAAATAAGTATATTCAAGAAAAAAAATATTTTATATTCTTACTCTAAAAATAATAAAATTTATTGAACAATGATAACAAAATGACAAACAAAAGAAAAATAATTATACGACTATCAAAGAATCCTAATATAGTAATCTGAAAAGGCAGCCTAATATAACATTTTAACCAGACAAGGGCAGGAGATTTTCAACCCAAAGGCTAATTTTGCCATCATGAAAAACTTCAGGAAGTTCAGTCATGACAAATAAACTAGTTTGGTAATTTAAAACCTGAGTTCATCAAAGGCGAGGCCTTTTATATGCAGTAATTTTGCAGTTGCAGGAGCATAAACAATAACAGATTATATCCCATTCAAGCAACTATTAGTGTACCCTTTATTTTTCCCAATTGGTTCTTTGAATATCTCTCATGAAGTGAAGAAAAGTGCAAAACATAGCAGACATATAAGGCCGCAAATACGAGTTTTAGAACTCAGAATGGGTATAATTTCAGTCCCCAAGAAGATATAAGAGAATATGACAATTAAGGACCTCACAAGGCCATTGATTTCAATTATAAAACTCAAATTATTGAAATCCTAATAATAAAATATGTTTTTTTTATTTAAAATTAAAAATATATATGAATTTATAAAATTAATTTCAAGTATTGAAATTATTATTATGGATTGAAATTATTGTTAATTTCAATTGAAAAAACCAAAATCCAAACTTAGAAGTGGGATTAACAATAATCTCAACCAATAATAGTAAATTCAATAGTCTCAACCCATATTACTTGGAATCCTTTTTCTCAATTGACATTAATAATAGTCTCAACTCATAATAGCAATTTCAATAGTATATTTTTCCTTGTTTTTCTAAATAGTTTATCTATGTATTAACAAATATAAAAATTCACAAGTAATTAGCTTCATATTCAGAAGTAACTTTGATAAATTTTTAAGACTATCATATATTCATAAATGTCTTTCAAAAGTTTTACCAATTAATTTTAGTTTCACAGTGGAAACAATACATTCCTAAGTGCAAATACTAGTTTTCCCAACTAAAATTAACAATAATTTCAATTAATCTTAGTTATTCTAATAGCGTGTTTTTTATTTAGGTTAAGATGTAATTTTATCCTTGAATTTTTTTTCGAAGAGCACTAAGCATCCTGTACTGATATTGAGGTAATTTTATCCCTAAACTATTTTCTGAGAAGCAAAAAACCCTTTCTGTTAGTTAGCCATTAATTCTTTTGTTTTCTACCAATGTGACAGATAAGACTTTGACCATGTCTTATGTGTGTTAATTTACTTCTAAACTTTTTTTAAAAAAGCGTTGGGTATCCTCAAATCTTGGTAAAATAAAATTTAATAAATCTTGTTAAAATACTAAAAATTTTAATATGTAATAATTTAAAAATTATTATTTATAAATATTCATTTAAAATTTATAAATTATTTTTAAATATTAACTGTTCAACCTAATTTTCATAAATTTATGGATGAATTGTAATATTTTATATATATATATCAATCATATTGTCAATATGATTGAGTTCCTTAAATTGTTTAGGTCATTCTTTGTAATTTTACGAACTAATAGTTTTCCTCCAAAATATTACACCACCAAATTTAATATTTTAATATTTTTTAATATTTTGTAATTTTGTATCAAAAATAAAAGGAATGAATCTCAAAAATGAAAAGAATGAACCTTCAAAGTAACATATTTTATAGCACATTAATGGGATAAGCAATATTAAATATTTTTGTTAGCATATTGTTAGTCCTAATCGATTTTGCATGTTTTTGATTTTACTCCTAACACTATAGTATGTAAAGAATATTAAATTTGGATAGTATAATATATTGGAGGAAGATTGTTAGTTAGCAAAAAAAAAAATACAAAGAAAGATCTAAAAGTTTAAGAAACTTAACCAATATTAAAAATATAGGTAAGTTTTCACCTATATGAAAGGCAAAACAATATGGGCATTATCTCAAAAATATTTATAAATTATTTATAAATATTTAAAAATAATTTGTAATTTTAGATGAATATTACAAATAATCATATTTAAATTATTAAATATGAAAATATTTAATATTTTAACAATATTTATTAAATGTTATTTTAACAAGACTCCAGGGTATCTAACATTCTTAGAAAAGAATTTAATGACAAATTAGTATCAAAGGACATGATTAAAAATCTTACTTCTTATTATGCGTGGAGACCACACACATGTCACGTTAGGAAAAAAAATGGCAAAGTTATCAACTGATTAACAAAAAAAGTTTTTTTGCTCCTTAAAAAAATAGTTTAAGAAAAAAATTATCTTACTTATCAATACAAAGTGCCCGACATTCCTCGAAAAATAGTTCAAGAATAAAAATGTACCTTAATCCTTTTTATTTTTCAAGTTAGGACAATTTTATAAACTCACATATATTTTTAATTTTAAATAAGAATTATGATTTATTATTGAGATTTTAATAATTCAAGACCTCTAATTATAATTAACGATCTTACACGATCTTTAATTGTCATTTTCTCAAGATACAATGTAAGAGTTGTTACAATATATCATTAGCAAGGCTTTTCTGAAACTGCAATTTGAAGACACGTTGTAATTTGTCAGCTTCAGCAGCATAAGTGCACGAATTTGGTAAGACCAGCAAATTTGCGGGAGCAAACTTTTTTTTGCCTTCAGCTATCCGCATTCCAACTCTCTTGCCAGTTCGAATCCCCTGCAGTCCCTGCAAGGTGCAGTGATCCACACTGCTTTCCGACAATGCAAAGAAAATTGATAATTTGAGTTTCTTTTAACAAATTGAAGGCTGCGTGCTTACATTGTGAAGTTGATCTTCAAAAACCATCAAAAGGCATCCCCCATTGATGACCAAAACATTTATATCTGCTGCCAAAACTATTATGCTCCACGAGATATAAAAACAAAAAAACAAAAATCAATGTAATCCTGTATCTTACAATGCGGGAAAAAGGATTTCATTCATCTACTCTTACTAAAGACATAAAATCTTACTGTAGGAGTCTCCAATGAATGGATAAAAATTAGCCATAACAAGAAGTTTCCCCTCAGGATCCAAGTTCTATGAGAGGCCAACGTAGCGACATGCTTGGAAACCATAAATAGTTAAATATATAATTCACGGTTAAAATAATATAATTTGATTAAATATGTAAAATTAGTCATATGGAAGACTTTAATATTTAAATAAAATTTTTTAATTTTTGAGTAAATAAAAAAATTTATTCATAAAATCTTATATATATCTTATATAAATAATAATTATCAATTTCTGATAATAATAAAACACAGTAGCATTAAAATTATTAATTTAGAAATTTAAATTCAACTTAGGGTTCAATATTCAAAAGAAAAAAGGAAAAAGCAAAGAAAATAAAAATAATAAAATCAAACCCGAATCAACCCATGAACCTTCCAAGTTAGCCGGGTTTGTCTAGGTTGAAACTGAGTTATATATGACTAGTTTTCTCAATCAACCGAATCGACTAGGTGATCTATTCACCAGTTTACAAATCAATCTAACTAGGTTGGTCTAAGTTTACAAATAATGTTAATAGGTATCTCCAATTGTTGATGGTAAGATATGGGCAGTCCCAAAGTTATTTGTTTACTTGATACAAGAGATTGATTTTGTTTCCATCTTTTACCAAAGAGTGTGTGTTTTCACAGTTGGTGCTGCTAAACTGGCACAAAACCTAATTTTAGATTACCATGATTTTCTTGATTAATTAAAGGAAAATTTTCAATTAAGGATTATGGAAGAGAAATATTTACTTGTGGGTTCCAAAAAAAAAATCTGAAAATTCTTTGCAAAATTTATAAACTCAACTGAAATAAAATGGGTGGCTAGAAAGACTAAAATGTACTTCTGCAAAATTAACAAGTATTTGATTACTACATATTACTTGCTAATTACTTACTTATACTTGTTAATTTCTTAACAATACTTATTAAATAGTTAACTAGTTAATTTTGTGGCTCTATAATCTTGGAAACATTACTTGTTAATTTGTCAACATGACTTGTTAATTACCTAACTTGTAAATCTTTTACAAAACTTGTTCACTTAACTGAAAAACATCATCATTAGTTGTTATTTTTTTTTACTTCACTTGTTAATTTATCAATATTAGTCATAAATTATCTAACTTCACTTGTCAATAATTATACTAATATCAATTGTTAATTATCTAACTTTTAATTATTAATTTATTAATATCAATTATAAATTATATGACTTATCAATCATCATACTAGTTTAATCATTTTAGCCTAAATGTATAATCATTATTATTAATTTTTTAACTTTACTTATTAATTTATTAATATCTATTGTCAATCATTTTTTCTTTTTGTTGCAAAAAAGTATTTCAATCTTTTCAGCTAACCATTTTATTTCAATTTAGTCCATAAATTTTAGGACCCACAAGTAAATTTTTAAATTTTTTTAGGACCCACAAGTAAATATCTCTTTTTTATGATCTTTAACTAAAATTCTCCCATAACTAAAGTTATCTACGTTTTACAAAAAAAAAAAAAACTTCGAAGAATGACAAATAAATCTTTCTAAAATAGAAAAATGACAGTTTGATATCATAAAATGTGATAATGATAGTGAAGTTTTAAGAAAATTTTTTAAGATTAAAATTGTGTAAAATTACTTTGATACTTTTTTGTGATTTAGAAAGTTGTAATTTTTAAATTATTTTAATCATTCATTCATGGAACCAAACTTATAAATATTCATACGATGCTTGTAAATTATATAAAATTAGTTGAATTTTACTTAATGAAAAAAAATTATTGGTAGAAAATTTTGATTTTATAAATTGTTTCGATCATTAGGGAAACCAAACTTACAAATATTTATACTAAACTTATGAATCATATAAAATTAGTTGTAGATGGGTATTAAAGTAATTTCATCCAAAAATTTAATCTCAACAAAGTTCCTTAAAATTTCACTATCATTATCACATTTCACGAAAATAAATTATCATTGTCCTATTTCAAAGAGATTTCTTTTTCATTCTCCCAAGAAAAGCTTTTTCTTATAACAAATACATAATATAATTTTTTTAGAGAAAATAATAATAAAATTCTTCTGAATTATATAAATGACAATCTGATCTCTCAAAAATCATAATTTCAATAAAGTCCCTTGAAACTTTTTGTCAATAAATTTTAAATTGAAAAGATCATTTTACCCTTTTAACAATTTGTGATTTCTAGTTCAATTCTTACTATTCTTGGAAGAAAAGTTGTGATTCTTTAAACCAAAGTTGTGAATAGAGTTTATTATTTTGAAAACTTGCTTTGCATTAATAAAAATTACACTTGATAAATTGTGAATTTTTGTTTAACTCTTGTGATTCACAAAACAAAAGTTGTTATTCCTTTAAATAAAAGTTGTGATTAATGTTTGTTTTTCAATAATAAAAATTACAATTGATAAGTTATAATTTTTTATTTAATTTTTGTGATTTACAAAAATAAAATTTATAATTTTTTAAATAAAAGTTATAATTAAAATTTGTTATTTTCATTAAGAGTAAAATTGTCTTTTCACTAAAAAAAGTTACTAACAAAAAAGTTTTTAAGTACTTCATTGAAATTATAATATTTTAATAGATTAAATTATTATTTATATAATTTGAATGAATTTTGTTATATTTTTTTAATTTTTATTTGATAAAAGTATTAAAAAATAAATCGTTTCATTCAAGTAACTAAAACTTAAACTGACATTTTATTGTTTTACTTTTATATTCACAGAAACGGAAAAAAATTTTTTTTCTTTTTTTTTCTTTTTTTTTCTTTCTTTTTTGATCCCCTCGTTCGTCAAATTTATAATTAAAATAAATTTATTTAATAAAATAAAATGAATGATGGGGATTGGGAAAGGGCAAAAAGCGTGGGAAAAGAAAGGGAAGAACCCTCTCCCGACACAGAAACCCACCGTGAATTCATGAATTCTTCCAATGTGCAAAGAAATATTTCCTTTCTCACTCTCTCTGACGCACAGCAGCTGGAAAACTTCCATGGCTCTTCCTCGTCTTCAAACTGTTGCATGGTGCCTCAGATTCGCCAAATTGTTGAGTATACTTTATAAATCACTCTCCTCTCCACTGTCCGCCGATTGAATTATGGTGTGCTAGAATTTAGATTCTATCATTTGTACTTTCTTCGACTTTAGACCCTTCATTTTTTTTTCTTTTATCTGCATTGATCCACATTATCCCAAACCTATTCTCTCTATCTAGTCCTTTAATTACCGTTCATTATCAAGACCTCAATCTAAACTTCCCCAACTCTCTCTCGCGTCTCTCACTGCCTCGTTTTTCACCTGATTTGGGTTTGGGTCCAATTCAGGGGTGTAGAATATGAAAATCAACACTTGTTTACTTCTAGTTTTGAGAAAGCTGAGGCATCAGCACACACTCAGCTCAACGTAGCTCTGCCATACTCGCTCACAGGGACATACACACACAGCTTATATTGCATTTCGGCTGGATAGATGCCCAGCAAATGGGACCTACAGGCTACAACATGTCATTGAAATTTTAAATATCAGTTTTGAACTTTAAACAAAGCTTAGCTCACCTCTGAGAAATTGTAAACCAAAAATTTAAAAAATCACGTTGTAATTTGTCGGATTAAACTGCACAATATCAACTAAATTGTTGACACCAGCAAAATTTGAGGCATACCCTCTGTTTGCCTTCAGCTACTCACATTCTAAATTTGCTTACGTGGAAAGGAATTTGACAGTTCCAGTTACATCCAGGGGAAAATTTTTGAAACTATAAATCACATTTTGAAGTTGAAGTTCAAAAACCATCAATAGGCATCTACATTTGAATTGCTGTGCAAGTGAGCTATTTCGCTGCTTGAGAGAAGAAACAATAGACTTCTGAATCTTACATTGCATAATCAACTATGGATTAAGGAGTTCGAACTTGGAAGCTTTTTACTTCTTGTCCTCGGATTAGCATCTTCTAATTGCTTGACAACATCTCTCATTGTGGGTCTCCTGCGTGGATCATTCTCAGTGCATCTCAGAGCCACCAAAAGCACTTTGGTCGCTTGATCGAGAACATTTGAATCCAAAAACTGCCCGGCAAGGCCAGAATCAGCAATCTTGTGAACATCTTCTGTTCCACCCCAGAGAGTTCTGACCCAGCCCACTATATCAACGCCCTCCATAAATGATGAATCTACTGCTTTCTTTCTGGTTATTAACTCAAGCAAAACTACCCCATAACTGTATGCATCAGATTCTCTATTATTTGCTGTTGTATATGCATTCTCTGTAATAGGCCAATATAAACATGTTAGTCAGTACAAGGTTTATGCAAATAAAATAACAAGCAGATTCATAATAGCAATAGAAGAAGTACCTGGTGCAATATAGCCTACTGTGCCAGGGACAGATATAGATGGTGTTGAAGCAGAAGCTTGATCCAAAAGCTTGGCAATACCAAAATCGGCTATGTGAGGCTCCATGTCAGAATCTAGGAGTATGTTTCTTGGTTTGATGTCACGGTGCACTATGGGAGGATCACAGTCGTAATGGAGATAGGCCAGTCCATGAGCAATGCCAATGGCTATCTTATATCGGACATTCCACTCTAAGGATGGCGGTGGATGCTTTTCATGCAAGACTTCATGAAGGCTTCCATTTGGCATGTAGGTGTACAAGATCAGACCAAAGTCCTTTCTCAACCAAAAGTCTTCCAATTTGACCAGATTCCGGTGCCTAATCTTTCCAAGGGTTTGAATTTCTCTAACCATGCTTAAGCTCTTGCCTTTGTTCCCAGCAAATGCAAGCTTCTTCACAGCAAAAACTTGGGCTGGATCTACAGTAGCTTTATAAACTACTCCATGAGCTCCTCTACCAATGATAAATCGGTCATTTAGGTTAGCAGTAGCCTCCATCACTTTGTTAAGTAGTAAGGAAGTACCTTCTTTGGCAGAGATCTGGACTTCTTGATTAGATTTTCTGCTACACACAGAGACTACTCCCAGCAGCAAAAGAACAAAAAATATTGACGATCCAAGTGCTATCATTGCTATTTTAACTTTACTAAGGCCTTTCTGGTTTGTCACTCTATCATCACATGGCTTTAGATAGATGCTCTGATTGCAATCCAATCTGTTTGATGATGAACAACTAACACACAGGCCTGGATTTCCCAAAAACGATGAAGGATAAGAATTAAGCAGCTTCATCAGCATATTTGGTACAGGACCATGAAACAAATTGTATGAAACATTGACTGTAAGTAATGAAGAAAGCTCAGCAAGAACTTTTGTGCTTCCAGTCAGATTGTTTCGAGATAGATCCAGACTTAGCAGATTTGTTAATTTTCCCATCTCTGGAGGGATTTTGCCAATCAGTCCATTAGCACTTAGATTCAACCCATAGCGCAGATTCTGCAGTGCCCCAATTGATCCTGGAATTTTTCCTCCAAACATATTCCCACCAAGCTGCAGCTCAGAGAGCTCGTTAAATTCTGACAAGAAATCTGGGATGCCCCCATTAAAATGATTTTCCCATAGAATTAATGTGGTAAGCACCGACCAGCTCCTCAAACTTGGTGGAAATGCACCATTCAGTAAATTGTATCCCACATCAAAACTATCCATTTTAGTACACTTTGATAGCTCGGGTGGCAAAGGACCTTCTAAGTGGTTGTGAGCAAGATGAAGAGTCTTCAGGCTAGCAAGGTGACCTAGCTCTGGTGGTATATGCCCCGCAAAGTTATTATTTGACAAAATTAAATCAGTGACATTGGAGCAGTTTCCCAAACTTGGTGGGATTGAGCCATTAATATTGTTTCTGCTGATATCCATGAACGTGAGATTTGGATTATATTGAAAATCAGGAAAAGGCCCTGTAAAATTATTTTCTTTGAGAATCAACCTTCTAAGAGTCGTACACCTTCCTACATCTGGAGGTATTCTGCCTTGAAGCTGATTGAGGCCCAAATTCAGCATAGTTAATTTCTTTCCAGAACAAAGATTTGGCGGGATGTTTCCAGTGAACTTATTATTCGTAAAGTCCAACTGTACTAAACGGCTTTTGATTCCCAAAGTTTGAGGTATGACTCCAGAGAAGTGGTTGTTAAACAATGAGATATTCTTCAGATGCTTGAGCTCTGTCATCTCCAAAGGTAGTTCTCCGGAAAGGCTATTATTGTACACAAGGATATGCTCAAGACTTTGAATCTTCCAGACACTACGAGGAATTTCACCGGTAAAACGGTTGGAAAACAATTCAAGATCCTGTAATTCACTCAACTCTCCTAGCTCACTAGGAATTTCACCCTCAAGTTGATTGGAATACAAGTGCAACTGTGTCAAAGACTTACAATTTCTGATCTCTGGAGGTATTTCTCCGGACAAATGATTCACAGGAAGCCTCAAAATGGAAAGCTTGTGAAGAAGACCAATGGAGGTTGGAATATTGCCAGTTAGGCCACTGCTAACAGCAGCAAATTGGGTTAAACCACTACAATTCCCCAAGCTTGAAGGAATTCCTCCACTAAATGAGTTGTATGACAGATCTAAGGAAAGCAGACTTTTACAACTGCCAGAACCCAATGGAATAGTGCCCCTAAAATTATTACTAGCAAAGCCCAAATAAACTATACCATGGAGATTGTTAAGAGTGTCAGGAAGGGTTCCCTGAAACTGATTCTCATTCAAGAACAATTCCTGCAATTTACTACAATTCCCAATTGAGGAAGGAATTTCCCCAGACAACTTATTATTCTGAAGATACAGGACCAAAAGCTCACTCATGTTTCCTATACCTGAAGGAATGGAACCGTTTAGAGAGTTATCAGACATTTCAACATGTTGCAGGTGAGGGATTTGAGTGATGAATTCTGGGATTTGACCAGTGAATTGATTATAAGAAAGGCTGATAAACTTCAAATTTTGCAAGCTTTTGAAGCTACTAGGCACTTGTCCACTGAAGCTGTTTACAGAAAGTTCCAAGTACTCTAGCACACTAAAATTTCCTAACTCGGGAGGAATTGTTCCAGATAACCCATTATCCATCAATACAAGGCTCTTCAAGTGACTCAGAAGTCCAACCTCAGGTCCTAATTGACCCTCAATCCCATAGCCAGTGAGGTTAAGAGAGATCACATTGTGGGCATGGTCGCACTGGATTCCAACCCACGAGCAAGGGGTGGAATCTGAGAGATTCCAGGTGGACTTTACAGGATGAGGCACAGAAGTCCAACGCCTCAAGAGTGACAATAGAGTCACCCCATCAGAGCTCAAAGCAGAAACAGAGCATAACAAGGAAGAAAAACATAGAGGAAGAAGAACCCAAAGAAACCTCATTGGTAACAAGACAAGAGACTCGACAAGACACCAACCAAGGTTGGAACTTGGGAGCCTTACTTACGCTACGAGGAACAGAAAGCACGTACCTTGTTTGTTGCCTTATAGCAGTTGTTTACAAGAAGAAGTCTCTTGGGATTGACATTCTTTGTGAAGAATGAGACTGAAACAGGGTTGAACATTGGAAGAAAGAGAAAGGAGAAAAACGCAGAGAGGAGCAGTGTGAAAGGTGGACTAGAAAGAAGAAGCTAGAATGCTGGCGGTGTCAGGAGCTCATTAATCATAATCATAGAATAAAAAGAAAGAGTGATTCAGTTATTGATGTGCTGCTCTACTGCCACGCTCATATATTGTGTGTGTGTGTGTGTGTGTGTGAACGAATGTCCAAGTCTTTGTAACTTTGTTTATTAACTAATGCATAGGTTAGGCAGTTGGCTGGTGCGAAAGCCGTTCGCAGTCCACTTACAACGTAAACGGTGGATGAGCATGAACGAATATTTTCGACGCGTTTGACGGGTTTGGAGCCATTTTCTCATTAAACAAATATTCTCTCACCTCCATTTTATAAAAGATTTTTTGAGGTGATTTAGTATTTTAAAATATAAAATATTTTTTAAAAAATAAGACTTTATTAGTGATTATTTATCTCAATATTATTTCTCATTGTCTTACTCCTCAAACATATTTTTCTCTCTCTTATTAAATAAATGATATTTTTAAAAGTTTATAAAAAATTTAAATGTTAAATTATATTTAATTCAATTTATTGATATTTGTAATTTTAAAAAATATCCTATAAAACGGAGAGGAGAAAGTGCTATTATGATCTTGTTTATAATATAAAGTACTCCTTGCTTCTATTATAAGATGCATTGTCAAAAAATTTCTTGGCCTTTAATACAAGTTGTATAAAGCTTTGTTAATTAACAACGTACAATTTCACTCATAACAAATTGCGAGTATTAAAAAGAAGATTTAATTTTGCTTTTGATGTTTTTATATGATTTCTTAAATATTGTGTTTCTCTCTTTTTTATATAGAGTTAATTGCTCTTCTTAGATGCTAGTGAGATGGTTAAAAATGACTACGGGAGAGTATTTAACAATAACAAAAGTAGTTCTAATTATAAGCTATAAAATAAAAGGATGAAATAATCTTACAGTTTTACCATTTAACTTGAGAAAGTATTTGCACAAACAACAAGATGATTATAACTTACTTTACTTAATAAAAATATAATTGAAAAGTTTATTTTCTTGTTAACAAATAAAATAAAGTCTGCAAAAAACAAATAAAATAACATAATAAATTTTCTTAAAACACATGAAAAAATTGTCCAAATATCTTATAAATAGGGCTGGGGAAATAATTTTCATATTTATTTTTTACGTCAACAAACATGGCAAGAGTTCAAACAAGGGGAGTTTTCCATCGTTGACTGGAAGCATAAAGACTGAAGCTTGAGTTCAAACTACTTTATAATCTAATATATGTATGTTTTCTCTTGATTCCGTAAGCACTTTTGACTACAACGCAACTCAATCCAAAATGACTAGACTAGACAATACCATGTTCACATCACTAGTAAATTAATTTTTTTATTATTAGGATTAACATTTTACAAAGTAAAGTTTTCACTAATTACAATTTACAAATTAATGTTGAGATAAAAATCAATTATTACAATGACAAATGTGAATTTGGTTTAACAGAAGGGACTAGTCTCTCATAATATAGTAAACTGAGAATTTATTATTTGTTAGGAAAGATATTCACATTTAATACTCAACTATACATCAAACAAAATTATCTCTAATAAGAAAATACTTATAAATAATAAAAAAATCAATTACTATAATGTGATTTATGTTTAAACAATATCTTTGTAAAAAGTAAATTTAACCTATTAAAAAATGATATATAATTTAAAAATAGTTTTAGATATATAATAATTTAAAACTACTCTCACAAAATGACGAACCAAAATTTAAATTTGTATTAGAAGATGCATCCATATTTAATACTTAATTGTGATTGTCTTAAATAAAAAATCTATAAGTAAAAAAAATAATTAAAAAGTATATCAACTTTTCATGATATACTCCTCTCTCTCTCTCTCTCTCTCTCTATATATATATATCTATTTGTCAAATAAAACTTTTAAAAAGTTTTCGGTATGAAAAAGTAATTTTTAAAAAAGAGATGAAGAATATTTTTTTAAAAAAATGGGATAGACATATTTACTTTTTTTTTATAAAAATATTTTTTTATTCACTTCTACTCAAACGCAATCTCACAAGCCAAAACAAAATAGTTTCAGGATGTGTTAGAATTTTAATTAGATATAATTAATTATAAAAAATTAATCAACATAATAAATTTTAATTAAAATTGATTATGTTATAACATGATGTGTTTAGATCATATTTTCTAAAATTAATTTTGATTAAATTAAAGATATTTGGGTGATTTAATCAAAATTAATTTCAGAGATACAAATTACTATAAAGGGCATTTTTTTAAAAATGTAAATAATGATAAAATTGTATATAATATTATTAAATTTGTTGAACTCTATTTAATAAATAAAATGTGTTAATGTTAATTTCAATAATAATAATAATATAAATTTTGTGAATTTATTGACTAAACAATATATGCAAAATAAAATGTAGTTTGACCCATCAATAATCAATAATAATATGAAAGCTGGTGAGATACTCGAAACCCTCCACCCTTCAGGGATGCGACACGGTGGTAGATTGCAACACCCACTCCCATGACACTCATCATAATAAGTATATTTTTTATTAAAAAAAAAAAAACAACAACGACAAAGGACAAGCAACTATAGATGGGAGACGAGCATATCAGAGTAGAGAGACAAGACAACAGACTCGTTGATACAATCAGATTGAAGAAGAGAGACAGCAAACTTGCTGATATGAGCAAATCAGAGCAGATTGGACAACAACAGAGATAGTTGGAGGATGATAGAGAGATGAGAGGAGATCTGAAACTCACCAAAGATGGGAGAGGTAGGTCGGTGCTAGAGATGCATGGGAGGATGATGATGTGCAGCTAGCTAGAATGCAGTTAAAGCTCAAAGGATATTTGAAATTTGCTAGAGGGGTGTGCCTAGGAGGTAAAATTTTTGACAACTGACAAAGGAAACTCATGTTGAAATCGATTCCAATAAGCCATTCTTTTCAGCTTATAACAAAACATGGTTCTAGTACAAATAATCGATTATATGAAAATGGGAGAGTTTGGGTGATTTTTTATCAAAACCATGGTTTTGGTTTATATAATCGAATCTGGCACCTGCCCAAACCGGCACTCAACTGCAAGCAGTGTTGGGCAGGGGATAAATGACTTTTTCAACTCACGCTAATCCAAATTTAAAGGACCTTCGTGCAGATGGGAATCTTGAGCTAATTAAGAAGATTATTACCTTGATCAATCAAATCTGGTAGGCTGGAAATCATGCAATTCATAACAAAGGAAATATCACTCCAGACAAGGTTATCCATGCCTTCCGCGAGAAAATTTTGTTTAACAACACAACAAGGAACAATCAGGACCCACAACATAGAAGGCAAGACGATAGACAAATTACTATTCTCTCACCATGGAACCCGACAATCGTCCAACAGGGTTGGACTCTGTGGATGGAGAAGAGAAAATTTTTGGGAAGAAATACTTGGTTCTGTTTGGTCAGATGACGTGGCTCCCTGATTAAAACCTTTCCCAATCCTCAAAGCTATAAGCACAATAATCGCGCAGAGTTAAGCGTCCTCTTAAGAGCAGTTCTGAGCTGGATTAAAGGAGTTGTGGAAGATTGGAATATGCAAAATTTACCGATTGGAATTATTGGTTATAGAAAGAAAGTACTTGGAAGGAACACGCAAGGGGTCAGTAAAACGAACGGAGATATAATACATGAGGATATTTCGCGACTCCTTTCGATTTTCTCTAAAGTGTATTTTCTAGCCTATGATGCTCTTTCTTACTTGAACTTTTCCTTCTCTCCTGGTTTGCCTTTTTTGGGACCTTAATTAGTGTAATTTTTTTACTGTGTTAAATATTGTAATGAATTCCAAAAAAAACAAAAGAAGGGGGAAAAAAAATTCAAACTAGCTTTTTTTTTTTTAATGGGTTGATGAAACTCAAACTAGCTTTAACTTCTCTAACTGAGATTGGGAGCTCCAAAAGATCAAACCAAACAGTGTCTTTGTTTTTTTTTTTAAATATTTAATCTTTTAATTAATGCTATGTTTGGTAGGTTTGAATCTGAAATATGAAAACAAAAACAGAAATGGAATCCATGTCAAAACATATTTGGTATGATATAATCATGATTCTTTAGAATCCTGATTCTGACAAATTTCTCAGAATCCGATTTCATCTCAAAAGTTATGGAATTTGATTCTGTGTAACTTTCCATCTTCTCTCTCTTCCATCTCTCCATCTTACCCTTGCCTCCCTTCCTCTTCTTCTTTTTCATGGACTTGATGCGTGCTGGAGCAACGGCATTAGCAGTTGGCTTGCAACAAGTGATAGAGGAGCACCTGCAGGAGGAGTTGTTGGCATACGTGTGGGAGGAGATTTGGCATGCATTCTCGCCGTGCATTCTTATCGATAATGAAGGACCCATCATCGTTCATGCATTCTCGTCATCGATAAAGTGCCCATCACCTCTCTCTCTCTCTCTCTATCTCTCTCTCTCTCTCTGTGTGAGCGTTCTTGGTCTGGCGATGACGATGAAGAACTGAGCAGCGATGCAACAGTCATCACTGTCACCTTACTCTAAAGACATCATCATCTGCATTGATCTCCTCCTCTCTTTTTCTTTGGTCTTCATCTTCTTATTCAGTCAGGTGTCGTCGGAAAAGAAGAAGAAAGCAGTGACGATGAATCATGAGAAGGCAGCGACAGACTGTAGGAGGGGGTCCTTTCGGAGAAGAAGAAGAAGAAGAAGGGGAGGGAGTCCTTGCCGGCACAGTGACGGACGGTGGCAAGGATGCTCATCAGGTGAGGAGGAGGAGGAGGCAGTGACGTGATGCAGAAGGAGAGGAATGGCCGAATGAGACTGTTGGGCTGATGGAGATAATTTTTTTTTAAATTTTAAAAAGAGCACTTTGGTCTTTTCTTATTTTAAGTACTTATATTTTATTAAAATTATATCAAGATTCCATCATCATACCAAACACACTTTTAAATCTAATTCTATTTCAATTTCAATTTCAATTCTGATTTTAATTCTAATTCTGATTCTATCAAAAATTCTTTTATCATACCATATATGGCCTAAGTTTTTACAGAGGGGAAAAAGTAAGTTAATTTGAGCACATTTTTAAATAAAATAATAATAATAATTTGAGCGCAAAGCCATTCACTCCGTTTCTCGCTGGTTAGGGTTTTTGCTTGGCTTTTGTCGAGTTGAGAGCCAGTCGTGCCGGAGAGTTTCAACTTTTTCGCTCCCAAAAAACTCTCTTTTACCTTCTCAGCGCCGAAACCAGCAGCAACATCAACCATGGCTAGCACTAAGGTCCAGAGGATTATGACCCAACCCATCGTAAGTTCATTTTCTCTTTTTCTTCTGTTTACTAAATTGTCTCAATTCTTGTTTCTCATTCACCGCTAATTTCCTCTTTTTTTATTTCCCCTTTCTTCAGAATCTGATTTTCAGGTTTCTTCAAAGTGTAAGTGAAATTCCGATTTCTATTTCTCGTTTGTGCTTTGGCCTGAGGTTTTCTGTGTGTTTGAGATTCCCTACCTGCTTAAGTGAGAAATTTTGTGTAAATTGTTTTTTTTTTTTGTGATTTTCTGTGTCGCAGAAAGCTCGCATTCAAATTTGGCTTTTTGAGCAGAAAGATTTGCGAATTGAAGGGCGTATAATTGTAAGTTCGCCTTTATTATTATGCTATTGTATGCGATGTTCACAATTTGAAACCTGTTACTCCGCGTTAGCATATTTTCTAAGGATTACTTGGTTTCTGTTTCTTTGTGATAATATGTTCTGATTTTCCTTCTGAAGCTTTATTTGTCTGTCAAATTGGAAATATAAAAACTGGTTCCTTTTCTGGGGTTTGAATATGATTCATGGGAACGAAATTGTACCCCGGCTGAGTCCAGATTCTGAGTTTGTTTTATTTTACGCTTGCAACAGTAGGCTGCTTCCACTAACAGATGTTGCAAACACCAGAATGCAGGGGTTTTGTTTTATCCTCATAATCTGCATATTTTTCTACTAATCCAACCCTCAATTCAAAGCCTTTAAACTGTCTTGGAGGTTTCAGTGTGTTTGCTGTGGTTTATAAAATTGTTGACCTTAGCTTGGAGATCACTAGACATCTTTCACACCACCCAGAAATTAAATTTCTTCATGGGGTACAATTAGGGATGTAGATTTTGCATGTGTTCTTTTTGTTGCTGCAGCTGCTGGGAAAATAATTCAAGCAATTTCGAATCATCCTTTTATAAATGCCCACACTTTTGCAACGCCCTGCTTCAGCACTCACTATTAGCTCTTTAACTATCAAAATTTGATTTTGGGTGATTTCTTGGCCTAACTGATTTTTCTCTATGTTGTAACTTCATTCGTGTGAGCATATCATGTGTTTGTTGGACTGTTACTGTGTCCTAAACCTAATAAATGTTGAAAAACATGGCTATTCATTATCTTTGATTGAAGGCCAAATAAGTTTTAGTTTCCATTTGCTGATCAGGGGTTTGACGAATACATGAACTTGGTTCTGGACGATGCTGAAGAAGTGAACGTTAAGAAGAAGAGCAGAAAATCCCTAGGTGAGTTGTGAGACAGTGGGACGTGGTTCTGTTTTTTCATGTCATGGATTTTTCTTAATGGTTTCATCTTTTTCCTTGTAATGATTTTATGAATTGAAACTTACAGGTAGGATTTTATTAAAAGGGGACAACATAACTCTGATGATGAACACGTAAGCAATGCTCTCTCTTTCCTGCTTGCACATTTGTGTGTTGATGGCTACTGAGCTAACTAGTTTTCTACTGATTCCTTGTATTGTCTTTGTTCAGGGGAAAATGATGAGGGAGCAGCACTGTGAATCACGTTATGGGGTGTCTATTTTTGGAGGTCAACCAAAGAGATGCCTTTGAAACCTAGCCTTTGATATATTTGATGATGTTAGCATCTCGGTAGAAGAATTATGTGTTAAATCAAACTTCTGCTTTTTGTAAACCCTAGTTTGTTTCCTAGTTCATAATGCTTATCTAATTTCCAGTGGATACTCCTGCACCTCTTGTTTTTTGTTTTGGTTTTCCCCAGATGATGCAAAGGGGAAATCTCATCAAGACACTTGGTACTTGCAACAGATATTGAAGTTCTGTAAAAAAAAAAAATTTAATGTCACTTGGTGTTTGGGTACCGCATTCAAGCACCAAAAGTCCTTTTAAAATATGTGCTTTTACCGAACAAATGTTTGGTTTAAATGTAACTATTACAATATGGTAAGGCATGATCTACATTTTGGAGCAGTTAAGCATATGTCCTAGAGGGGACCTGCAACTCTAGGGCAAGGTAAAGCTAGTGTAAAAAAGATTTTTTTTTTTTGGCCAAATAGTGTAAAAAAGATTTCGTTCAAATTAAAAACACCTTAACTGTAAATTTGTTACACAAAAGTGTTTTAAAAAAATGAAAAAAATGTACTTAGAAAAAATGATATAGACATGTCAATGTCTTTCATTTCATCTTTAGAAAATAATTTCACTGTCCGAATGTTATAAAATGTTCGACTTGGCAAGATTTATTTTTCCGTAGATCATTTCCAAGTTCGAAAAATGACATCATAGGAGCTGATATATGTTGCCTCCGAGAATCTGCCTGGATGAGCATTCGGCAGTTCAAGTGGTTATCATAAGGTCAATACAAGAATCTATGATGTCATTAATATGCTGAACAGATAGGGAGCTACATTGTGCAAGGGTCTTCATTCTAATGATGTCTTCTCTGATTGCTTTAACAAATATCGTATCATCAGCACATTTATGTCGCAACATTTGACTCCAACCCCTGTGAAATCGAAGTCTAATGCTCGTATGAAAAATTGTTTTTTAAAAAGCAATATATATATATATATATATAAAGAAAATGAGATAGATGCATTTCTCTTTTTTTTTAAAAAAAAAAAAAAACACTATCAAACATGCTCTAAGTTATAAGCTCTTGCTTGGTAGATCATTATTGACAAGACATTAGCACCGGTAGCTAATTAAAAGACTGGAGAAAGAGAATAATTTTATTGGAGCCCTAGGCTTGGCCAGGAACAATTATGTCAATCATTTCACCATTCACAATTATTTGATATGAAACCACAGTCATGCATTATGATAATCTTATTTGCCGGGGTGAGAATCCCATATATTGCGTAAAAATTCCGGAACACTTCATCATTAGCTTTTGCTATATTCACTTTGACAGCACAACAACCCAACATTTCAACAGCTAATGGGCTTATAGTCGTTGAAAGATTCTGCCCTCTCACACATGGGAATAAGATGATAAACAATTTTTGAGTCATCTTTAATAAATAGCTTTTGTTATAATTATCCATCACCATAGCAATAATATCATCTTGTAAACATATTCCGGTACGCTTGAAAAAATTTAGCATTGTACTCCTGGTATCTCACCCTTTTTGTTGATAAATCTTTGCCTTTCTTTTTTTGTTTTTTTAAACGATTACCATGCAATCATTTTCTTTCACGAGCTATATAATTCAATGGCAAGTTTCTTGGCAGCATTACTTGGCAAATGAATATATGCAATTAGAATCTGAAACTTTTCACTGAGCATTAAAAATAGCGCAACTTACAAGACAAAACAACAACGATCATTTAAAAAAGAGAGAAAAACATTGAAAGGGGCTGTTTGTGGTTCAGCAAGCTTTATTCCCAGCTCATACAACCAGACACCTTACGATACATAATGCTTTCTCTACCACTCTAAAGAACCTTGCGTCCTGAACCTTGTTGTATGAACTATAGATTAAGGAAGACGAACTCTTCAATGGCAGACACAGACCCTATCTTGTTAAGAGTCTCAGTGTTTGGTTCTTCGTCAACACAAATAGCCATAATGGCCTTCTTCCCCCTTGAAGTTCTTCCCACACTCATGAAGCTCACATTCACATTCTGATCACCCAGTATGTTCCCAACTTGGCCAATCATGCCAGGTTGATCAACCTGGCGACACAATATTAAGTTCCCCTCTAAGCTCACATCCACATCAAATAATCCAACCTTTATGAGATGAGGCACCCCAGATTTCACTTTCCCCTCAATGCTTATCACTCCATTGGTCTCAGATACAGCACTTGCAAGCTTCGACTCCACGTTTGATATCAGTACCTGAATTGAGTCCACTGGGACCTCTGGAGATGAATTAACCACCACCCTTTCCTCACTGATGCGAAGACCCTTCTGCTTTGCTATGAAATCTGCATTTACAAGGTTAATGATCGAGTCTGATATTGGTTCGATGATGCCTTTTGTGATCATCGCTCGCAGAAGCCTTGTGTCCAAGTTATCTGGATCTCTGGCGGATCGATAAACCACCTTCACAGATTTAATTCCACTTCCTCCAGACACCAATTGCACAGCTAGCCTGCCTAGTTTCTTGGCTAGCTCAACAAAAGGAGCCAGTTCAGTCATCACCTGATGACAAAGAGCCCATGTTTAACTTGCTTCAATAATATAGTAATACTAAGTCATAAGCTGTGATCAATCACATTGTTTACCTCAGGAGCAACCAAGGGAGCATTAACAGCAGTTGCAGAAAGTTCTCCTTTCAATGCTCCAAGTACAGCTTCTGCTACTTCAATGGCTACACCCTCCTGGGGGGCCGGAATTTGATGCAGATAACTTGGTCAACCTTAAAGAAGAGAATTTTGAAAGAGGAAGCTGAAGGCAAAATACTGTAAGTCAGAAGGTAAACTAAGACAAACCTGTGCCTCTTTCGTGCTAGCTCCAAGATGAGGCGTGACAGTGACATTCTCATGTTGAATCAACTTACTGTCTGGGGATGGAGGCTCCTCAGTGAAGACATCAAGTGCAGCCTACTCCACATCATATCAATATATATAATAACAAAAATTTATGACATGACACAGTTCACGACCCAGACACCATATGATACACACAGGAAAAGAATGAAGCGAACAGGTGAAACAAACAAACAAAAGGTTGTTCACTTTCATCATACCTGAGCGACAATTCCACTGTCAAGGGCTCTGACTAATGCATCTTCATCTATAACTCCACCTCTAGCGACATTGATGACGCGGACTCCCTTCTTCATATTGGAGAAAGTATGGTCATTAAAGATCTTGTTAGTGGTGGGGGTGAGAGGCATGTGGAGGGAGATAAAATCTGCAGTGGTTATGGCCTGCTCAAACGATACCAGATCAACCCCAATTGCTCTGGCTCTGTCTGCTGGAGCATATGGGTCATGAGCGATCACGTTCATACCCAAACCCTTTGCACGCCTAGCCACTTCAGATCCTACTTTTCCAAACCCCATTATTGCTATGGTCTTCCCCACCAGTGAAACCCCAACATATTTGCTTCTTTCCCATTTGCCTGTAAAGTTTTTGCATCTTGTCATCATCCTCTATCAATATATCTCTATGTATATGTATAGTTTGAATAGGAAGATTTTGAAGCATAATTATTTTCGCCTTTTCCGGCCAGGTTTTTAGTCTCTTGGTCTTTTGCGGCAATGAATTTACCAAAAATTGAGCTACAAAGACGATACGGAGACTTTTCACTTTCTAGTTTCATTTCCTCATCAGTTAAGGTAAAGAATTTTTTATCAACAGCTAAGTCATAGAATGGGATCTTGCCGAATTTCAAATACTTACACAAAGTTTTATTGTGAAATTCAACATACCCATTGATAGATCCACAAATGATAAATTGGCAATATAATGGTCAAATCTAATTATCGCAGCCTTTGATTCCCCCCAAAAATGCAAACAAGTTCAGAACTATATATGTATCATTCTGTTCTGTGTTTTCTCTTCTATTTTTAGGTTCTTTTATTTATTTACTCTTTTCTTCAGTGGCAAAAAGAGAATAGGCTTGCTTCTTTAACGAAGTCAACGACGAAAACATAACCCAAAATCGATTTCTTACCAGCTTTCATGGAGGCGTCAGCCTGAGCAACATTTCTTGCCATGGCAGTGAGCAGAGCGATCCCATGCTCTGCCGCAGCAATAGTATTTGCCGTCGGCGCATTAACGACGAGACACCCAAACTCCGTCGCAGCTTGCAGATCCACATTATCAATCCCCACTCCAGCTCTACCCACAACCTTCAACTTCCCCTTCGCAGCCTCAAACACCTGCCTCGTCACCTTTGTGCCGCTCCGAACAATCAAAGCATCAAAGGATGCGATCTTGGAGCAGAGCTCTTCCAGCGAGAGGTTGTAAGAACATTCAACGCGCCCAAACTCTCTCAATACTTGAAGGCCAGAGTCTCCGAGCTTCTCAGAGACCAAGATCGTGGGTTTGGGACCTAAGGAGGAAGATTCAAGATCGACGTTAGGGGTTAAGACAGAGGACTTCGAAGGGTCAAGCGTCCTCAAAACATTGTTGACAAGGAGAGAGAAGCGTCGAGAATGGCGAGAGAGCTTGAGGGAAGTGGTGGGTATGGAGGAAGCAGAGGTGTTGTAGAGGAAGGAAAGAGCAGAGGATTTTGAGTTCGACTGTGAAGAAGAAGAAGAGAAGAAGGTGGGTTTGGCAAAAGAAGCAGAGAAGGAAGCCATGGAAGAGAGAGGGGGAGAGAGAGAATTCAGTTATTTTGAGGAATGTGCTTCAATGAGAGAGGGTCTCACATTTTTTTGGAGGAACAGGAGCCTTAAAAATGGAAGCAGGAAGCAGAGCAAGCAGACAATTCAAGAATTCAACTCTTCCTCTCACTTTCATTAATTGTGATACATTGGTAAAAAAACAAACATAAATTGTACTATTATTTTTTTTACCAATAATAAATTGTGTTATTGGGATTGCGAAATTTTAATAAATTATGTCCTCTTTTACCAAGCTTGAGGATTGGTAAAAATAATATAATAAATTATTGAGTATTTTCTGAGAGATATCATAAATAATAATATTAAGTGTTTTGTGTTTTTAGAAGCAATCAATGAATTTTTTCAAATATGCCGTTAATGGACTTTTGAAATTAATAAGATTTTTGTATTTATTGGTAAAAAGTTATCCTTATATGAAGGTTGCGACACAGAAATGGTAGGGTATTTTTAATGAGGTTAACTAATTTTTTTAGGTTGAAAGTTAGAAATTTCTTATAATTTTGTATAAAGGAAGTGTGAAATACAAAATAATTCTGTAAAAATAAATTTGATTTTTTTCCTCAAATGATAATAAAATTGTGAGGAATTATGAATAGCGTTACCATTATTTGAGCTTGAGAATATTTAAATGAAGATTAATCACTAATACTTTTTATAGAAAATATTTGTTAAAAAAGAATATATGTTTTGTCTGTTTACTTTTCTTTGGCCAACAATATAGTTTTGATATGAGTACTCTCTTCTGGGCGGGGAAAAAAAAAAATAGAGAGAGAGAGAGAGAGAGTACTCTCTACTTCATTTACTCTTGTACGGCAATTTTTACAAGTTGTGCATGGTTGTGAAAAAAAAAAAAATAGAGAGAGAGAGAGAGAGTACTCTCTACTTCATTTACTCTTGTACGGCAATTTTTACAAGTTGTGCATGGTTGTGTTTTTATTTATAAATTGTTTTGCAAAATCTAGGAAGCAATTAATATTCCCAAATCTCTCTATTCACTATTGTAAAGACACTTTTTGTAAAAAAAAAATATTATCATGTTAAAAAATCCTTCTCCCATCCCTATCGTTAGATGCTTTTGGCCAAAAAAAATGCGTAAAAATAATTTCACTATCATGCATAAAAAATTACATGTAGAATTAAAAAAAAAATTATATGTTATCATAATATACTAACTTAAGGGTTGAAAATATATAATCTCTATATTTTATTAAAAAAATTAAAAAGTTAAAGGGCCATGGCCCTAATTGTCTTGGCCAAAAAAACTATCCATTAGAATTAAGAAATGATAATTAACAATTTATCAAATATGTTTTAAAATGAAAAAAATTTATAACTTTATCCATCTTAAAAATAAGAGGAGGGATGCACGTAATATATAATGATTCATAAAATTAAATTTACAACAAGGATACAATTAAAAAATGGTAATAAATAAACTTTCATATGCTTATATTAAGAACTAAAAAACCTTTCTGAAAGATGTCCTATTATAGAGATAAAAATAATTTCTAAAAACAATAAAATAAAAATAATTTTAAATAGCTCCTATATTTTCAAACTATTAAAATAATTACACTATACATATATAAAAGATTACATGTAAATTTAAAAAAAATTATATGGTGTCATAATATGCCAATTTAAGGGCCGAAAATATATAATTTTTATATTTTATTAAAAAAATTAAAAAGTTAGAGAGCCGTGGCCCCATTTGTCTTGGCCCAAAAGACTATCCATCACAATTAAGAAGTGAGAATTAATAACTTTTTAAATATGTTTTAAAATAAAAAAAATTATAACTTTATCCACATTAAAAATAGGAGAGATACACATAATATATGATGATTCATAAAATCAAATTTACAACAAGGATAAAATTAAAAAATGATAATAAATAAACTTTCATATGCCTTATATTAAGAACTAAAAAATTTTTCTAAAAGATGTCCTATTATAAAGATAGTGAGAGTATATTAAGACATTTTAATTTTTTCAAGATATGAGTAATACAATTTTTTTTATAAATCCCTTCATTAAAGGTATAGTTAATAATTTTTTTAAATTGATACAATCTATTAAACAAAGATAAACATGTAAACAATGTATAATTTTAAATATCATTAAATAATTTATTATAAGTGCAACTTGGTTAAAAGTCTCGTATGATATTAAACTAATGGAATTTCTCGCCAGCAATGCTCTTGATATTTGCGTTGAAGAGATGGATTAAGAGAAATGAGTAAGATTGGATTATCATATTTTATAACTTAATTAATTAAAGATAATATTGGAAAGACGGAGTAATTTTAAAATACCAACTAAATTTAACCAATTGTATTGATTTTTACACCTTCTGAAAAATTTAAAGCATTTTTTAAGGATTGAATGTTAAAAAAATATAAAATATTTTTAGTATTTAAGATATAATTAATATGGTTTTTTTTTCAAAAATTTCATTTTATAAATAAATCACTTTATATTTATCTTTAAGTAAAACAACCAATTGAATAAGAATAAATATGAAAATATGTTACTAGTGTGAAGACAGTTAATTGACTTGTTATAGAGTGAAATTTGATCAAAAATAACTTATATTTTTTAATATAAAGAATATAATTTATCATACAAAGTTAGATTCAAATATTGCCAAACTCAATTTGTGATTGTTCTTACAAAAGCTTTTTTTGCATTTATAAAAATTTAAACTTAAGATCTCATGTTTAAACAACCATAACTCCTTCTACTAGCATCACTATCTGCTAGTAACTTTATTAATTATTAATAGATCAGTTAAAAAAAATCATTTCTACATGTTACCAGCAATACAAGCGGGTTTTGTCTAAATTCGATTATATGCAGCTGGATTTTTTTTTTTTTTGGGCCAGCAATACGCAGTTGGATTCGATGTTCTCCATGTAATTGTGTTACTGATAAGAGTGGAAATAAAAGTTTATTCTATTTGGATAATTGATTAACGATCCATGGTTAATTTGATTTCGTGTGTGTGTTAGACAAATGGATTAAAAAATAGACAAATTATGAAATTATTGGCTTTAGAATGCCGGAACAATGATTGATATGACATAAAAGTAGCCAATCAGTGGGAAATTGGGAATACAAAGAGCAATATGTAGGGCCATGGTAACTTGCATTAGCCAAAAGTGATTCAATTACTCTCACATTATTAAAATCCAATCCAAATTGATCAATCATGCTAGCGTGAATTGATGAACCAGTTTACCAGCTGGTTAATAAATCAATAATTTTGGATGGGTCGATTGGATTTGATTTCATATTTTTTTCCTGTTATTGCTTGTTTAAAATGACAATGATTTGAATTTAAAAAAAAAACAACATGTCGTATTTGTGCTTTAGTAACTGTTTTATTGTATTATTTGAGGTTTATACATGATTATTTTATTTAATCGTAGATGGATGCTTTTTATTTAATTAGTACTCTTTTAATAGTTATATATAATTTTTTGTGTAATTTTAATAAATTATACTATTATTTTATCATGATTAAGTTGACTTCAGTCGAGCCACCGACTTTTGAGATATTATGCTAATCAATTTAATGATCTATTTGATTTTAAATACTTTGATTACTTTGGACATCATCATGGGAGAATGAGAATAAAGTCCTAAACCAAAAAATTTATGATAGTTAATTTCTTGACAAATTTTAAAAAAAATAAATTATAAATATTAATTTAAAATAATAATTTTAACTGTAAACTTAGAGTTATATTTAAAATTTAAATATTTTACTTATAATTAAAATTCATGAATTTATGATTATTTGAATAAATATTTATAATTAATTTTTTGAATTTTGTTAAAGACTTAATTATGATATATTCATTGCTTTAAACTTTATTATCATTCTTTCTTCTTTTTTATTTTATTACTATTACTATTATTATTATTTTGAACAGTGCATTATTTCTTTAAATTTTTGCGAAGAGCAATAGGTGGGGTCTTCTGAATGGTTACTGGATTTGTTTACGCCTCTGACCCCTACATGTTTCTTTTGGGGCAATCAGACGCCTCTGCATGTTTGGAAATTTATTCACACATAACTTGGAATCCATGAAAATAAAAATACATATAATTTAAAATTTTTAGGTCATTTATTTTCAATTCGTAAATATAAAATTATCTACCCTTAACTTATTAATTTTTTTATTTAAAGTACACTATTATTAACATTTTTTGGATATAATAATAATAATAATAAGGTAAGGGTAGATAAGCTGCTAATAATAATAATAATAATAATAATAATAATAATAAGGTAAAGGTAGATGATAATAATAATAAGGTAAGGGTAGATAAGCTATTACTATTATTACTACATAAGTACCTCTAAAAACACTTTTTAAATGTGGCATATGTTTGGGCCCTAAGGATCTCGTGGCAGCGAACCCAACTAAAACTTCATTCCTAAAGCAATGTTATCATTATTTTGATAGAATTATTTAGTCATCCAGTCATTGGTTTCGATTAAAATATTTGAGAAAATCGCATTGAAAGACCTGAAGCACCTTAATTATGAAAAAGGACCAAAACATCTTTCTGAATTAGGCAGGAAGTCCTTGACATGACTTCTAATAAAAGGCCGACTGAGAAGAGACGAAAATAAGCCCTTTTGAATCTCAGCTTGTAAAAATATGGTTTTTACAAGCATGCATATGAAAAATAATGACAAAGGTAAAAAAATAAAAATATTCATAAAGTAGCGTACATTCAATATCTTAAAATGATAAAAAAAAATAAAAATATTCATAACGTTAGATGGATTGGTGCAAAAATAATAAGATCATTAACTTTGACTTAACACCGTTAACTTTGACCATTAAATACTGATTATGCATGCCATGTGTTAGTCTTTGTTGACCTGAACTAAAAAAGGAGCAAAAATACCCATGGAGTTATCGGTCAGGAGCAAAAATCTCTATAACGTTACCAGAATTGATGTAAAAGTAATCAATACATCCAATTCCTTAAATGTTGACTGTTTAGTTAACACC